AAGCAGATGCTTTACTGAGAGTGTTTACATACACATTTCTCTGAAACAGAACCCCACAAATAAATGTTATGTTTATAAATTCCATACATCTGGTCTCCCACAGATAAACCTGAAAGAAAAATTTGATAAGGTTTAATAATGCCCCCAGAGCATATAATCCACATTTATCAAGTCAGAAAATTCTATAAAAAATATATTCCATCAAATCTTTTCCAGAAACATGTTCTGTATATATTCATGAATACCTATTTTCCTGCTGTCAGAAGCTGTCCTTCTTAATTTCAACAGCAGAAATAGCCAAGGAGCTATAGTCACTAAGAAGTATTCTGTAAACCTTCGTATTACATATTTCTGATTTTAATTAGGATAATTTGCCTTTCTTTCAATTAAAAATGCTGGAATATGTTACAAGAAAAAGAGGGAGAAAAGAGTGAAGACAACTTGATGACCTATTTTCACATACCTCAAATGTTCACTCTTTAAAAAAGTTTTATTGTGGTAAAATATACATAATATAAAATATATGATTTAAACTATTTTTAGATGTTCAATTCAGTGACAGTAAGCGTATTCATAATGTTATGTAACCATCACCACTGTCCATTTCCAGAAATCTTCATCATCCCAAACAGAAACTCTGTACCCAATAAATAGTAACTCCCCATTCCCATCTCCTTCCAGGCCCAGGTAATCCCTATATTTTACTTTTTCTACCTATGAAGTTGCCAATTATAGGTCCCTCATATAAGTGGAATCATACAATATTTGCTCTTTTATGTCTGGTTTCTCTCACTGGGCATAATGTTTTCTAGGTTCATCCCTATGGTGGCAAGTAGCAATACATCATTACTTTTTGGGGCAGAATAATATTCCACAGCATTTATATCCATTCATCTGTCAACAGATACTTAGCTGTTTCCACTTTTTGACTATGGTGAACTATGCTGCTATGAACATTGGTGTTCAAATACTCGTTTCAGTCCCTGCTTTCAATTCTTTTGAGTATATACCTAGAAGTGTAACACTCATTTGAGTAAATTCTAAAGAGAAAGAGAAAGGATACATACACTTTAATATTATAACATGTGTTCAGATCTGAACCTTGAAGGTCAAGTTAGGTAGATTAAGGGATGCCTGAAGAGCTACCTTAAATCTTCTATAATAATGTTGCAGTTCCACTGACTCAAGATATTGGTAAATTCTGTTTTGATGAGACCTTATTATTTGGAAAGGTCCAAAATGAGAGCTTGTACCTAAAAAACTAAATCTACCCTATATCACCAATTAAAGGTTGTGAGGTTCTTCCAGTTTCAATGTTTTCCACTCATTTCAAGTCTTCATGTTATTCCACTTTATGCTCTTGACATTCAGACTGTTTCTAGTTATTATGAATAAAGATGTTGTAATAACATTATTCAGCACGTTGCATTTTCCCTGGGTACAGTGGATGGGAGTCTGCCTGCCTAGTTTCCCTAGGGTATACTAATAGGAGTGGAATACATGCCTCTTAAGGTATTCACATATCTAATCTTTCTAGGTAATACTGGTTTTTCCAAAGTGGATGACAGTAGTCCATAATAATTCCCTTTTCGCCATATACTTGTTAGCACTTGGTCATCAGACTTTTCCATTCTGGCCAATCTAGTCGAGTTGAAATGTTATCTCATTGTGGTGTAAATGTACATTATGATTATTTATAAGGTTGGGCATTTTTTCCATGTAATTTGTATTTTCTCTATGAAACACCTATCATGTCTTCCCCCACTTTTCTATTGGATTGTCTTTTTTGTTATTGATTTACAGGAATTATTTAATTTAAAAAATAGCAAGAAATAACATTCATAGAGAACAGTATGTACATGAAAGCACTGTTTAAAGAATAATTTAAAATCACCACCAGCTCAAAAAATAGATTGCCAACACTCTAGAAGCACCTCCTTTGCCCCTCCCTGATTACAGTCCCCTTCTTTGCTCAGAGGTAATTACCAGTCAGACTTTCGTGACAATTACTTCACTGCTTTTCTTTTTCTAGTTAAATCACCTGGAAATGCATCCTGAACAATATAGTCTAATAATGACTGCTTTGGGATGTTATAAAAATGGATTCATACAGTAAATATTCCTTTGTCTTTTGCTTCTTACACCCAGCACCATGTTTGTGAATTTCATGCTATTTCATGTAGTTATCAGTTGGCCATAAAGTTCCTTTGGTTTTAAAGTAAAAATAAAAGACATATTTTTCCATTTTCACCAAGATCTTTATTGAACAACATATTCATCATTTTGTTCCACTATCTTCTGCCATTTTTCAGGCAACTTCATAATTCCATCTTCCAAAACATTTTATCTTCTTGGGCAAATAACTGTTCCAGGTGCCTTTTACAATCTTTCAGGAAGTTGAAATTTTCTCCATTAAGAGAATTTTGTAAAGACAAAAATAAATATAAATCTGTAGGTGCAATGTCTGGTGAATATAGCTGATAAATCAGAACCTCCCAGCCAAGCTGTAACAGTTTTTGCCTGGTCATCAAACACTCAGTTTGCATTATGCTGATAGAAGAGTATGCATTTTCTGTTGACTAATTCTGATGCTTTTCGTCCAGTGCTGCTTTCAACTGGTCTGACTGGGATCAGTACTTGTTGGAACCAATTGCTTGGTTTTCCAAGGAAAGAGCTCATAATAGAGGACTCCCTTCCAATCCCACCGTATACATATCACCTCTGGATGAAGATTGGCCTTTGGTGTGGTTGGTGGTGGCCCATTTCCTGTGCTGCGAGATCTCTTCTGTTCCACATGCGGCTAAGGTTTTTGTGGCTTAACTTATGGGGAATCTGAACATCAAAGCAACTAACATAACCAAACTTGATTGTTCTCAATTAATGTCTCTATCAATGTCAACTGGTCTACCTGACCCTGGAGCATTGCACAGCAAGAAATCTGCAAGAAACTTTGGAAACCACGTCTTTTTAAAAATTTAAAAAAAGAAAAAGATTTTTTTCTGGCCATATTATGTGGCAAGTGGGATCTTAGTTCCCTGGCCAGGACTGAACCCACATCCTCTGCACTGGAAGGGTGTAGTCTTTACCACTGGACCACTAGGGAAGTCCCGAAACCTCTTGTGACATGTTTGATCAGTTACAACACCTTCTCCATACACTGCACAAATCTTTGTGTGTGTGTGTGTGTGTGTGTGTGTTTTATTTGCATTTTTACCTTTCTTGAAATAATAAAGCATAATATGCTGAAAATGTTGTTTTCCTTCCATCCTTAGGTAGACCAGTTGAAGTTGACAGAGATCCAGAGATGGAGACATTAGCTGAGAATAACCAAGCTTGGTTATATTAATGGGGCATGTTAATAGTTTTAAAATGGCTACACAAAATTCACCATTTTTAAGGATTTTTTTTGTTGTTTAAAAAAACATTCTGATATGAGAACATAATCTAACAAAACTGTTTCAAATGAAGTTAAAGACAACTAAGTGCTGCTAGAGTCACCTTACAGAAAACACCTAACGAACTTTTGGCCCAACTCAATAGTGTGTTCCTTTTGGTTGCAGTATGCCATCTACTGCTCTTGGGAGTTCTGCTGCTGCCTGGCCTACTACAACTCAGTGAGGTATCCGAGACTTGGACACTTGGGTGGTTTCAGACTTTTGTTCTCATGAAAAACCAGCCAGGATTATTCCTGTAACGTCTGAGAATGTCCTTGAGCCGGCTTTTCTCTAGAGTACACACCATAGAGCGCAATTGTTACATCTGAAGTATAGGCACCTTCACTGTTACCATGCGACCCTCTGCCTAGGACGGGTGCCCAGTCTACACCGCAGCCAGCCTCAGAGAGTCTACCCACAACACAGGTCACGCGACTCACTTTTGTCAAGCCAGCGCGTGTAGTCTGTCTGAACTGTTCAGTTCAGTCGCTCAGTGGTGTGGGACTCTTTGCGACCCCACGGACTGCAGCACGCCAGGCTTCTCTGTCCTTCACCAACTCCCGGAACTTGCTCAAACTCATATCCATTGCATTGGCGATGCCATCCAACCATCTCATCCTGTTTTCCCCTTCTCCTCCAGCCTTCAATCTTTCCCAGCATCAGGGTCTTTTCAAGTGAGTCAGTTCTTCACATCAGGTGGCCAAAGTATTGGACCTTCAGCTTCAGCATCAGTCCTTCCAATGAGTATACAGGACTGATTTCCTTTAGGATAGACTGGTTGGATCTCCTTGCAGTCCAGGGAACTCTCAAGAGTCTTCTCCAACACCACAGTTCAAAAGCATCAATTCTTCTGGGCTCAACTTTCTTTAAAGTCCAACTCTCACATCCATACATGACTACTGGAAAAATCATTGCTTTGACTAGACTGACCTTTGTTGGCAAAGGAATGTCTCTGCTTTTTAATATGCTGTCTAGGTTGGTCATAACTTTTCTTCCTGAAAAGCCAGTCTCTGTGGTTTTAGCGCGTCCGGGTTAGCCCTGCGCTCCAGAGCCTTCGGTGTTGACCGGCCTCCTGGACTTCTTCGTTTTAAAGCACCTTTCCAACTCTTTCTCCCACTTCCCACCGTGCTTTTTTCTCCAGGAGTCCGTGGACGCTCTGGACACCAGCTTTCCGGCCACCACACGCCTCTCGGTCGTTTCCTCCCAGTCAGCTTCTCTCTGAAGTTTTGTTTTGTTTTCCTTATTTTAATCTAATCAGGTCTACCCGCCTTTTCCGGTTAGCGATTGTAGTACACACAACACCGCCCCCACCTCCGCCTTGAGGGCCGCCCACAGCAATTCCGAGCGCCCGTTCATTCTCAGCTTCCTCAGTCCCGCGTCCGCGTCCCTCTGGCCGTCTTTCTGCGCGCGAGCCTCTGCTTCAGCGCCCCGCCCGCGACGTCAATGCCCGCCCCTTCCCAGGAGGCAGCGCGCAGGCGCGCGGGCCGCGCTAGCACTTAGCATAGCTAGTGCGCCTGCGCTGGGAGACGCCCCGCCCTCGAGCCGGTCATATATAAAACCTCGAGCGTGTCCTCGCGAGATGCTTGGTTCTCATGCTCGCTGCCGGGGTCGGAGGTCAGAGTGAGCGTCTCGCGGGCCGGAGAAGGAAGATGGCGGTGGAGTCGCGCGTTACCCAGGAGGAAATTAAGAAGGAGCCGGAAAAGCCTATCGATCGGGAGAAGGTGCGGGTCCGAAGAGATGCAGGGGTCCCTGGGGAGGTGGGGCGGCGGTGCGGGGCCGAAGGGAAGGGTAGGGGCCGCGCGTACAGCCTCCTGACTCCCGCCTGTCTCGCCCCCAGACCTGCCCGCTGCTCCTGCGCGTCTTCACCACCAACAACGGCCGCCACCACCGCATGGACGAATTCTCCCGCGGAAACGTGCCGTCCAGCGAGCTGCAGATCTACACTTGGTGAGTCAGGGGGCCGGGGGCTCGCCTGCCGCCTTCGGGCTCTCCTCGGCTCGGGGCCTCTGGAGGCAGCTCGCGGGAAGTCGATGTTCGGTGAGGAAACGGTGTTGACTCGTCTTGTGGCGCTTTGACCGCTCACGTTGAAACTTCTGGGTTGTAAAGAATTGACCCAGGACTGCTGTCACTGTTGTGGCTGCTGGGTGCGGAAGTGACACGTCGGTCGTCCAGTGCCGCAGCGGCTCCCAAGGGGCTCTTGGTAGAGGGTGGCGCTAGAATAATTTGGGGAGGGGAGTGGTGCAGTTGGGTGATACTCGTCGTCCTCATAGAGCACGTGTGCTAATATTAAGCTTTCGGTGCCCCAGCTTCAAAACAACGAAACCGGGTGGATTTTGATGTGCTTAATGGAGAAGCTTTTGATGTGTTTACTGACGGTCTCTCCCTGAATGTTTTTGTACCTTCCCTACCCACGTCTGACTAGGGCTGTTACGTACAGCAAGCCCTATGCAGTTCCTTGGTTTGACGTTACAGTGGCTTTATAGTAGCAGTAAAAGGTGTTTAGTTTTTAAAAATATGCCTAATGTAAAATATGTGACATTTGTCGTTTTGTTTCAGGGTACATTTCGGTGCAACCATTACTACTATCTATTTTTCAAAACTTTTAAATTCCCTACGACAGAAGGTCTGTACCCAGTAGGCAATAATACTGGAAATTTTTCATTGCCCCTGGTCGCCACTGTGTATCTATGTGAATCTGCCTCTTCTAAGTATTTCATATGCTGCTGCTGCTAAGTTGCTTCAGTCGCGTCCGACTCTGCGACACCATAGACGGCAGCCCACCAGGCTCCACTGTCCCTGGGATTCTCCAGGCAAGAACACTGAAGTGGGTTGCCATTTCCTTCTCCAGTGCATGAAAGTGAAAAGTGAAAGGGAAGTCGCTCAGTCGTGTCCGACTCTCAGCGACCCCATGGACTGCAGCCTACCAGGCTCCTCCATCCATGGGATTTTCCAGGCAAGAGTACTGGAACGGGTTGCCATTGTCTTCTCCAGTATTTCATATAAGTGCTCTTATATCCTATTTGTCTTATTGTGTCTGGCTTATTTCACTTATAATAATTTCAAGGTTTATTGATGGTTAAGGATATAAAAAAACGTGATTCTTTTTTATGACTGACTGAATAATGTTTCATTGGAAGGCTTTGCGACATCTTGTCTGTCCACTTATCTGTCAGTGAATACAGAGGGATTGGTTCCACCTCTCAGCTAAGTTTATGTAGTATGATTCTAGTTTAGTATTATTCCAGGAAAACAGTTCAGGAAGGTCGATTTAACTTATAGAGAAGAACTTATTATTAACAGATTGATGAACACTTCTGTTCAGATTAGTCTATATTTCCTCCCAATAAATTAAGAGTTCCTACTTGCCATATACTTGCTTTTACTGAAGAGTATAAAGAGGGTTCTGCCCCCTTTCTAGAGTAAATTTAATCTCCAAAAGAAAGCAGATGGAATAAATGCTAAGTAAGACTTTAGGGTGGAGACGGAGGGTGAGATTGTGCCACGCTCCCTATTCTCAATCAAGGAGAGAAAAATTACAAAAAATTAAATCCTGTCCTCAATTGTCCATAAACTGCAACCAAACAAGACAACCTTATCTTACACCTCAAAATGGTGGCCAAAGACAGACTGGATGTTGGTGAGGGACAGAACAGAGCCCTGCTGCCATTCCAGAAGCAGCAATGAGGGAAGATTGGGGATTCTCAATTTGTAGAAATAGATTGAGGGGCCAAAGTAGGTGGCCTTGAGATAAGTCCAGGAAAGAGGAGTGAGGAGCCCAGCAGAAGCTAGTTGAATTGGCTAAAGTCCAAGGCACTGTGTGGAGCTGGGGGAACACCCCACCCCAGCAGTGACAGATCTTGTGCTTAGGTGGTCACTAGACAGGTTACTGGAAGAGAATTATCTCGATGACTGAAATAGGGTTCAGTGAGAAAGACCAATAGGAGATAGAAGAGCAAGAAATGGCTCACATAGTTGTGGGGACTACCTCGGTCTGTGGTGCAGGCTGGAACTCTCCAGCATAAGCTGTTGGAATTTCTTCAGGGAAGACTTAGGTCCAGTATGAAGCGTTTTCAACTGATTGAATGAGGCCCACAGATTGATTGAATGAGGTTTACTCAGATCATCTTGGATAATCACTTTAAAGTCCACTGATGATAGATTTTTGATCCCATCTCCAAAACACCTACCTTAGTGTGTGTTTAAATAATTAGGAGCTGTAGTTTCCTAAATTGACATATAAAACTGACCCTTACAGTCACCAGGAACTCTTGTAAAGATTTGAATAATGAGAGGTTAAGTACAGCCTGATGGTGGGGATGGAGAAAAAAATAGGTCTGTCTTTTGGCTGCGCATCAAGACTTGCAAGATCTTAGCTCCCAAGCAGGAATGAAAACCTGTGCCCCCTGCAGTGGAATCCTGGAGTCAACCATGGGGCCACCAGGGAAGTCCTACTTGATCTGTCTTTAGGAGGTAGAAACAACAGGCTAGAGATGGAAGAACTTTACCACTCTTACGTTTGTGACCTGGGCATCTAAGAGGGTGATGGTCATATGGGAAGAAGGATGTTTGGGGGATACTATAGAGTTGTTTCAGGTGTATTGAGGATTCAGCATCAGTAGAGAAGGAAAGGAGATGTGATCATTGTGGCCTTTTGCTCTCAGTGCAGCTGAAGCCATGGTTTTTTACCTGAGTGTGATGTAGTGGAGATGGTGTAAATAGGGAACTGAGTTAAAACTAGATGACTTCTTGGGTGTTTGAACCCCTGCTCGACGCTGTCTGTTAGGGCTCTTCAGTGGTGCCTTGCATCCTGGGTCACTGTACAGCACCCTTCAACAGTGCTGCTGCCAAGTTCCTTTTCCTCCATTTCATGTTCCCGTGTCAGGGAACAAGACAGTTCAAAAACTTAGACTGTTGCTCCTAATACCTGATGCTTATATTTTAGAAGATTTTTCCAGATTGTGTCATACTGGCTCAAGGTCTATATAGTTTTCAGTTCAAATAGAAATTGGCAAGGCAGGAATATATATTGTGAAAGGAGCCTATGCTTAGCCTTGAAAATTCCATGTGCTTTGTTGGCTTTTCCATCTATTGCAGAACTCATCAGAACATTGTCTTAGAAAGGAAAACAATGCACAATCTTAATGAAAATGCTTTCCTGACACATTCTCAGATGTATTCCAATTTCAGAGATGCTAAAATGCCTCTGAAATAATGAAAAACAATTAATTTGAGAATTTGGATTAATTGGGACTAGTTATTCTTAAGTGGATAAATCACTAGGTCAGTGAGATGTTACATAGCAGCAAAGGTAGTGGGGCAATTCTGAAATCCCTTTAGCACACTACCAGTCTAGCCTGCCTTCATTCATGAAAATTTCAAACACAGGCTGGTAGGGGGAAATAGTATTTGGGGGCAAATAGTATAATAATAGTATTATTAGTATTAAAATTAAGTCAGTTGTGAGACCTTGACAGTTTCTAAGAAAGTTGCAACTGAGACACATGTAACTAATTCATTGTATGGCAGTATCCTTGTTACATTATTGCTGATTAATCAAGTGTCTTTTTTTTCCTTAAAAACAAAAAAATTTCAGGATGGATGCAACCTTGAAAGAATTGACTAGTTTAGTAAAAGAAGTCTACCCAGAAGCCAGAAAAAAAGGCACACACTTCAATTTTGCAATTGTTTTTACGGATCTTAAAAGGCCTGGCTATCGGTAGGTAACTTTTCTTTTTAATTCCATATAATCTCTTTGATTTCAGTATGTTTTACCTGCTAGGGATAATCCATATTATCTTACTATCTAGTTTAGATCATTATGTCTTACATTTTCATTGTGTTCTAAGATCATGGAGCAAATTCAGCCCCACATTCACTTTTTAGGACACACACAGTGTCATTGCTTAGCCACCCTGTTAACAGTTGATCTCCTTTCCTGCAGAGTAAAGGAGATTGGCAGCACCATGTCTGGGAGAAAGGGGACTGATGACTCCATGACCCTGCAGTCACAGAAGTTCCAAATAGGAGACTATCTGGACATAGCGATCACCCCTCCAAATCGGGCACCACCTCCTTCAGGGCGCATGAGACCGTATTAAATTGTACTTGCTTTTTCTTGAATTTATTTTCCAGTCAGTTATGTAAAATAAACTTTCACTTCTTCCTCCTCTCCTTATTGCCATTAAGCCTTTAAACTCTATAAACAAATTGTAATGCATCTATTTAGGAATTAGATTTGGCTTTGCTATGGTATGAATATTAATAGAAAGTCCATATGTTTCAAGTTCTTCTGTAAAATATGAAAAGTGCTCTTAGCATTCTATGTAAAACTGTATTGTTAAATATATGTTGCAATCATCCTGAGTGTGAAAGTTAATGGGGCCTGGGTTTGGGGTTTAATATAGTATTGGTTGTTTATGCTAAATAATGGAGTTGCTGTGTTTTGGCCCAAATGGGGCAGAACAAGAAAGCCATATTATATTAAATGGAACAGGGGTTTGTCACCTAGAAGCTTGTATGGACTTGGGAAGAGGACCTGTGGGAATGAGGGGGTGCAGCTGGAGTCTTTTGGAACAGTCTGAGCTGAGGCAAGTTGAAGAAGCTGTTTGTGTTTGAAGAGAGTGGCCTGCCTGAATCAGGGTGTGATGACAAGTTAGAGAAAAGGTGCTACAGTGAGGACTTTTATGCTTTAAAATGGGGAAAATACAGCATTCGGAGGGCAGGAAGTAGTATAGAGGAACAAGGGTTAGAACTTAGGATAAGGATAGATTTACCTTGAAGATCTGAAAATGCAGGGAGAACGAAAGAGGAAACTTAAGAGCATGGGAGAAGGTCCGGGATGAGGTCAAGCTGAGTAAGCAGAGGATGTTCACACACCCTCTTCAGTGCTGGGGCTGACTCATGTCTGATTTGAGGCAGTAGACAGAGTAGTTAAAACCAGGTGGGCTGAACATTTAAATCCTGATTATACTAGGAGCACCTTGGACAAGTTAGCTGAATTTGTTTTTGTTTAAAATTTGTAAAATAGAAGTGACAGCCCACAGGACTGTGAAGACTAATAACAAAGTTAGCCATAAAGTAGGACTTTATAAAACATAAACAGAACGGGTGTTGTCTCTTCCACAGAACAGTTACAGTCTCGGTGTGCAGCATGTGATTAAGGCCTATTACCTTCATTCTGTTGCATAGAAAACTTTGAAACTGTATATCCCCAAATGAAAAAATATATATTACTAGCGAAGTAAGATTGTAGTAATTTGATCTTATACAGACAAAAGCAGCCTTGGAAACCTAACACTTGTAGGATCGGGGTCAGTCAGCCAGCAGGTGACAGTCATGGGCCTGGAGCCCAGACCTAGGGCTTCTTCTCCACTAAAGTTTGCCCCAAACCCCTCAGTCCTTTATTCATTCAGACCAAATAGGCTTGAGCTGAGTCATAAAATTAACTTAAACCTGATATTTTGGAGAAGAGGAACTATCATTAATTACCATCCTGTTTCTAGAAGATACAATGTACTCTGCAGATCAAGACAGGAAGTCAATATGGGGCTTCCCAAGCCAACTTTTCATAACCCTGTGAACTCCTCCAGTGGGGCTTTCCTGTAATTATTCCAGGTTACTCTCCCACTGGCTGAAAATAAAGTGGTTTATTCGCTTTGTTCCAAAATGGATTTTTTTTTTTTTTTTAGGTAAAATTGGTACATAATAATATATTAGTTTCAGGTGTACAGCATAATTCATTATTTGTATACACTACAAACGGATGACAAGTCTAGTTACTATGTATTGACCCGCTTTACCCTTTCTGCCCACCCCTCACCATTGATGACCAATCTGCTCTCTGTATCTATGAGTTGGGTCTTGTTGGGTTTTCTTAGACTACATATAAGTGAGAGCAGTTTCTCTAATTTCACTCCGCATAAGCCATCCATGTTGTTGCTAATGGCAAGACTTCATTTTTTGGCTGACTAATATTCCATTGCATGTATGTGTGTGTGTGTGTGTGTGTGTGTATCTGTTGCACATTTTTTCATCCGTCCACCTACCAATGGACACTTAGTTATTTCCACACCATGGATATTGTATCAATAAATAATGCTGTAGTGAACAGGTGGGTGCAGATAGCTTTTCTTCACACACTTGCCAACACTCATCTCTTGTCTTTTTGATGGTAACCATGCTGACAGGTGATTGTTAATCTCTGTGGGTTTGATTTGTATTTCCCTGATTAGCACTGCTGAGCACCATTCCATGTATCTGTTGGCTACCTGTATGTCCCAACATGGAATTTTTCCTTTAAAGGTTATGATCTTCCACCAAAAGTACAGTTAAACAATACCTAGTGAATTTATCATTGAATATAATGCTAAGACTCAAAAGACTTGTACTTAGTCCTTCTTTACCTCTGGCTGTCCAAGTATGGCTTTGAGGTAGTAACTGAGCTATCTCATGGTCCCTGTGACAGCACCATGCTCGGCCTTCAGAGTCCTGACTACCTCATGCTCTTGTGGTTTCCCATCGTGGAGTGAACTAGAGAACGCTCATTGCCTGTGATACCTTTTCAGTTTTCTCACAGGGTTTAGGAGCTTGCCAGGGCTTTTTCAATGGCTCAGTGGGTGAAGAATCTGCCTGCCAATGCAGGAGATGCATGTTGGATTCCAAGATCCTCTGGAGAAGGAACTGGCCACCCACTCCAGTGTTCTTGCTTGAAGAATCCCATGGACAGAGGAGCCTGGCAGGGGGATCCATGGGTCGTACAGAGTTGGACACGGCTGAGTGACTAAAGCAAGCAAGCACAGGAGCTTGGCATCTTTAGTTCCTTACTTCAGTAGGGAGTCAGTGCTAAGTTTATACTTATATTTTCATGCTCATAGTGGTCACTGGCTGAGGTGATGTTTCAGATATCAACTCTGTGTTTGTGCCTATAGGGGTAGCTGTGAAGGGGAAAGCAGTTAAAACTGTTAGGCAAACTAGAGCTGAACTCAGCCTGTTTCTATCACAAATTCCAAACTTAGTGTGACCAAGCAGTTATAATATGAATGCTGAGTGGTGCCTAATCTCATTTCACCTTCAGCACTGAGGTGTAGGCAGTGGCTGTATCTTCACTTCAACTGAAATGGAGGCCTGCTTTAAATAACAGCTCTCAATGTGGGCTGTGAAGCGAGGAGGCCAACAATGGATGACTGGAAACATATTTCCAGAAATAGTGTGTTGTTGTCTTCAGCTCCCTGCAGGCTGGCGTCCACCCAGCTCCACCGGTCCTGCTCTGGCAGTGAAGCTGCTGTCTGTGAAGACTCTGCTAAGGGACGTCATCTGGAGCATGTGGACCTGGTTCAGTCTTTGTACAAACCAAAATGCCTCTTTTGAAGAAATAATATGGTAATGGCTTCTGGTTTTAGTATCAGAGCAGCCAATGACGTCTGTGTCCTTGTGTGTACTTTATTGCTTAGTTTAGTTGCTCAGTCGTGTCCGATTCTTTGTGACCTCGTGGACTGTAGCCCTCCAGGCTCCTCTGTCCGTGGAATTTCCCAGGGAAGAATACTGGGAGTGGGTTGCCATTTCCTTCTCCAGGGGATTTTCTTGACCCATTTATCAAACCAGGGTCTCCTGTACTGGCAGGTGGCTTCTTTTACCGCTGAACCACTGGGGAAGCACAATTGCTTCAACAGGTTGTTCTTAAAAATTTCTGTAGTTTCTTGGAATCTGTAATGGAACAACCTTGAAGGAAGTGTTTATTCTGCTAGGATTAATCATGAACTAGCTAGGCAACTATTCTATGAGGACAGTTACTGATTCCGACCCCCAAATGACCCCTCGGAGGAATAAGCTAAAACCTATCCCTGGTGGCTTAGATGGTAAACAATCTGCCTGCAATGCAGGAGACCTGGGTTCGGAAGATCCCCTGGAGGACCAAATGGCAACTCACTCCACTATTTTTGTCTGGAGAATTCCATGGACAGAGGAGCCTGGCGGGTTATAGTCTATGGGATCATAAAGAGTCAGATGCGACTGAGGAACTAACACATACATACAAAAAGCAATTTTAATACTAAATACCAAAATAATTTTAACAAGAAAAAACTAAAAAAAAAAACCTGCCAGCCTGGGAATGTGAGGAGTTCATTGTATAAGGGTGTCCTAGTCACACGCCCCCCTCACTGCATTGTTGGGGGAAGGTGGCCTAGAGGAGGGCCTGGTAGAGAGCGACTGTTCAGTAAATAGCTGTTTTAAACGCAAGATAAAAGGTGTTTGTAGCTCCTCCCTTGCTTCATGCCCTCAGTTGTCAGAATGTCCTACTCCACACGCTCGCAGGCCAGCCCAGCTATAACCTACTCCTGAGACAGTGTCATGGATAGGATAAAATTAAAACAATCTAAACTGAATCCAAAGAACCATCTGAGGCACTTTCAAAATCTGCATACATTATTGAAAGCTGTCAGAAATTGTAATTATTACTAACTCTTTGCATACTTCCAGGGAAAAAGTATGTGGAATGAATGCTTGTTACACACCAGGTATCCTGGGCCTGGGGTGCAGAAAAACCTGACATGCAGGTCCTTCCTCAGAAAGCCTTTGGTGACAGAAGGTATAAGTGCTCATGATCATAGGTGGACAGGAAGGGGGTGAGAGAGGTTATGCTGAAGATGTCAGGTGAGGAGATGAAGGTGAGGAGGTTGGGGCATGGTGGAGAATGGAGGGGAAGGGGTACACCCCAGGTGCAGTCAGCAAGGCCTGGGGAGGGAAATAGGACATGGAAAGAAAAGTCCATCATTAAAGCCTCAGGATTCTCATAGGCCAAATGGAAACGCTAGCACCTATTCGCTAGGAGTTACTTTTAAAAAATTCAATGGGTTGACGAATGTAATGAATGTACCACACCTAGCCCAGTTTGGACCTTCCAGGCTGGCAGGTGCCAGTGTAACAGTGAACAAGGGAGCTAGTGAGCTCCTTGTCCCCACTGAGCTTTGGTCTGGTGGGGCAAGGAACATTCTGTCACAGATTCTACCAAGTTCAATAAAGGATGAGAATGGGGTGCTGACTGGGTAAATGGTTAAAATCTTTGATAGAATGACTTTTAATCCGAGACCTGAAGCAGATAAGCCAACACTGGTAAGAGTTTCATGTAACAAGGAAACGGGGGTGCAGGTTGGGGGTGGAAGATGGATTTATGAACCACTTACCTGAAGAGGTGGAGTCACAAGTCTTCTGTGGGAGCTTTAGCAGCAGCCCCTCCTCAGGTGGGCTCACCCTTTGCAGCTCTGGGTGTTCATCTCGGCACACCCAGAAAAGCATGCTGCTCTTCCCGCAAGTTCCCCAAAGGCCCAGAACTGGCTCTTAGATCTCATGTCAGTTATGTGCTAGCCCTGACCTGTGTGGTCAGGGACTGTGGCCCTGCTTGTTAGACCTTTGCAAGAGGAGATGGAGAGTGACCGAGGGTCAGGCCACACACGGGCAGTCGTGAAGGCCACTGTGGGACCTTGGGTTCATCTTAGGAGCAATGGGAAAACACTGAAGGGTCACATTTGAAGCCTGATAAGCCAGAAGTAGCCTAGTTCTAAGGAACAGAAATTAGGATCACAGGAGGAGAGTGGTGAGAGCCAGAGAAAGAAAAATTCCAGACAAGCTCAATTTGCAAGGCCCTTACAAGACAAGTGGGGACAACCAGCAGGCCACTGGAAGTGCTTCATATAGTTTTTTACGTCCCATCTCCAACATTCCTGTTTCACTCACACCCCCTCTGGTTGCCACACCATTTCTTTCTCTCCCTTCTTGAATAAAACTCATGAAAAGAGCCATCTCAGTTCACTGTCTTTGCTTCCTCACCTCCAACCTCTCTACCCAACTCCAGACACTCATCCTGAGCACTCTGAGAATTCATCAATGCTGTCAGTAACAGTGATTTTAACAAGTTCAATGGTAATTCTGTCTTTTCTTTACTTGGATTCTCAACAATACTGACAGAATTGATCACTCTCCTTGAAATACTTTATTCCCGTTTCCCTGGCTGCCTCTCCATCTCTTTTGCTAGATTTTTCTGCCTCTTTCCATCTTCTAAAATGAGAACTCCAGGATTCAGTCCTTAGGTACATTGTGAATATACTCACTCCTCCTTAAGCAATCCTATTCACTCTGTGGACTTACAAACACTGAGCCACAGAAAACAGTGTACAAAAGGTTGATACAGTTTGGGAGTTAGCCCCATATACTATAAGATTGACCAGAGCTTACCTTGAAAAGCAAGATTAAGTATCTTGAATTTAACATTTTATTTAGCAAAATTTAAATTATAACTACTCAGTAGTTCCTAGAACAAAGAATAAGTTGTTCTTCAGTGACAATTTTCTGACGAAATGAAGAGACACAACGTGACGCGTCTTCCCATTTGACTTTCAAGGCGCAACCATAAAAGAGGATGTTTGCTGAATCAGCTTGACTTCAATCATAATGCTCTTGAACTCCATGGACAGGGTAGCCAGGTGCTCTCAGAGACAGGTTCACAGGCACAGCTGACAGTCCAGAGAGGAGCACCCACTCAGGAGAATGCCGAGCAGCTTCCAGAGGGTGAAGCTCGGGCTCTGCTGGGTGCCAAGCTAGATGGGGGTCTGGGGAGGTTGCAATCATGTGCTGGGAAGAGCTGATTTGAGAGGATGAAACTGACAATTTAGAGGAAAACACCCATCCTGACACGACAGCAGGTGAGTGTCTTAAGTCCAAATGTTAGACACCCCCTTCAGTATAGCTACCTAGGCCTATAAATTCCTTTTTTCCTACATCAGTTTAGGCTGTCTTTTGTAAACCACAGTGTCTGAAATAAAATTGTTAAAATAAAAGGTGTAGAAGACTTGGGACAGTCATGAGAGACAGTGGGCAGAGCTAACCCCAAGGAAGAAGCCCAGCTCTACCAACAACTGTCAAGCCCCGAGAAGACTGAAGGTGGCCTCATTTGAGTGGCAAACAGTAATGTTTAAATTTCAAAAATTATTTATCCTGCTTCCTAATATTATTTAAACCACACAGTTCCATGAGGCAGGGTAAACTTGAAATCAGTGAAATAGTAATGATCTTTCAAAACTGAGCAGCTGAACTGCACAGGTTAGATTAAATCAAACGTAATAAAAAGCACAATATGCTATTAGTCTCCATACTCATCTTTAACATGAATTGGTTTTTCAAAAGGGGGATGACGTAGGGATGTTGAAAACAAAGTGAGACCAGATTTGCATTCATCTCATTCTGTTCAGTTTCCATAATGGAAGGACAGATCCACTATCATTTCTGTAGGAAGATACAATAAAAAATATCAGTTGGATATAACCAGTAGCCTTCAACAAGGCAAATGACATGACATCGAAGACCTCTGTTTTCACACTCAGAATACAATTGGGAATGAACTCCCAGCGACACTGTCCAGGGGGCTAGTGTGGGAGCGGAGCCATTGGGATCACGAGCTCTAGGTTGTGTCCTAAGCTGCAAGTGTCAACTCCAGATGTTTACTCACCATCCCAATGTGAACTTTTCAATGTTCTCCTCAGATAACACAGGAACATACTCACCTTCACCAGTTTTCTTTGTTGCTGGCATCTTGCACATTCTGTCCACGACGAGGAAGGAACATTTTGCTGGGTGGCACTGCTCTAACTGCTACTGGAGATGCTAGGTTTGAGTTGTATTTTGATAAAATCTAAAAGAAAGCAAACTCCTTTTACCATGTCATACAAACAACATAAACCTGAAGCCTTTATAAAACAGTCAGTAAAGGTCAAGGAAAATGTGGAAATAGGGGTTATTTGAAGCAGAATGTTTAGCAGCACAGACAATTCCACAGCGCAGAAGAGATGGAGACATTAGAGGGTGAGCTTGGGCATACAGGCTGGAAAGTTTCTGAATGTACCACAGGTCAAAGGAAGCAAGCACCAGGGCAGCCCCAAGAACAAATCAAGCCTTACAAAGATGCTCAAAGGACAGATCAGCAGATGCTGATAAAGATAGATAAAGATGCTCAAAGGAAAGATTATACAAAGAGAAACCTAAAGTATCAACTATGATTTTTCATAAAGAGCTGATAATGTTAAATACAATATTTCCCTCCTTTAACACAGAAACAGAGAGAAGGCACTATGGCAAACGAGACTGTGTATGATGCTATAGACAGGAAATGCTCCTTCCTCAACTTATTATAATGCCAGGAAAGCAAATGCTTTACTGGTATCTTTGCATGAATCCCTTCCAATGGCATTTGGGTATTTCCCCAAGTATTCTCCTTCTCCATAAGCTAGGAAGGTTTCTAGAATGGTTATTAAGAATTCTATTTGCCTAAGCAATAACTGCCAAACATTAACCTTTATTAAGCAGGGATGCTCAAAGAATCAGAGTGGTTACTTAGTGGAGAAAGTAGTTGTTATAAACCAGCCCAACAGACTGCTGGTAAATTATGTTGTACTAAAGAATCAGATAAAAAAATAAAAAACAAAACAAATAAAGAATCAGATATTCTATGGGACTTCCCTGACAGTCCAGTGGTTAGGACTTAGCACTTCCACTGCTGAAGCTTGGGTTCAATCCCTGCTCAGGGAACTAAGATTCTGCAAGCCATGTGGAGGTCTCAAAAAAAAAGAATCAGATATTCTCACATATTTAAACAAGTGCTTCTCAAACTGAGGTCCAAGACATCTGGACATCTCAAGTTCAAGAAACCCTGATTCAAGTTATTCAGAGTTCTCCAACAATGGAGAACCAAAGGGTAAATGACATTTCTGATCCTGCCAGAAACCTCAGAGGAGACATGGTTACCAAGTGATCACATTTGAACAATCATTAGAAAATATTTTAAGAATACATTTAAGAACATTAAAGAGAAAATGCCTTATGAGGGCACAAAAGTATGGTGACATTACAGCTCAGCTCTGAAGAGCCTTAGCCAGCTTAGATGGGCTTAACAGGCCAGAATTAAGATTTAGATCCACACCAGCACATTAGCCTGATAAATAATAGTTTATATCCACTTCAGGTCTTTTTGCAGGAAAAATAAACAAAACAGTAGCCTAGAAAAATAACCTGACGAATATCTTCTGGAATCATAGTAACTTCTGGAGGTGTAGGTGTTTTGAGCAGATTCTCGTAAGAAGAAATTGTAGGAGAAGAGGGATCTGCAAAATTCTCAAAGCACTCGTCTGAATTTGAAACTAATGATGTACTTTCTTTCGTTTCTAAGTCATTCGATGAACTGTTTGTGGATACCTATTGAATAAAAAGAAATCATTAAATTATGGGGGTATAAAGTAATATAGTGATAAAAACTGTTCATCAATTGTTAGCTCTGTTGGGATCTCTAAGGAGGCCCAAAGTGACCCCCTCTTCCCTGACTGAGAACTAAATACAATCAAGGACACAAAGAAAGGGCATGGGGAGGACAGAGCGCCATGTTCATTACTCAGGGCTGAGGGAGGATTGCGCGTGCAGTCTAAGCAGACTGGCTGGTTGAGCCCCAGATTTAGATGGATTCACCACCTAGACTCGGGCAACTCTATACTGGCCAGGCCAGAGTCATAGCGAGGATGAGCTCTGCCAGGGAGGTAGTGGCCCATTCCCACTGACCTGGCCTGTCTCCCCAGGGGCAGAGGGAACACTGAGGGGGTGCCTTCCACATGGCCAGGAACACAGAGGATTACAAGGCACATGGTGCAATTATACATTAATAAAATTAAAAAAAACTGAAAGTGAGTGCCTCAGCTGCACTAGACACATTTCATGTGCTCAGTAGTTGACTCCCAGCTGGAGAGCACACAGTATAGACCATTTTCATCACTGCTGGAGGATTCGCTGACAGCCCCCTCTACCAGACTGGTTGTCTAAGTGTGCGTTACTTGACACAGGGATGAGATTTTGCGTACGTAGTACATTTGTTCACTGGGAAGATTTGGAATAAAAGGTATAAGAATCACCCATTTTGGTGTTTCTATCCAGTCTTCTTCCTTAAAATATATGTGTATGTGTGTACGTGTATACATATACATACATATCACTGTCCACATCGTTAAATTTTTCTTGAAGACATTCTATGTTCTTATCTGTTTTTCAAAAACATGTTTGCCACATGACACTGGAACTTATGGATTTCCTTAATATGCTTTTTTCCCCCTTTATCATTTGACATTTGTTCCCATGTTCTGCTCTTATAAATAATGCTATTACTTTACTGTTATAAATCTCTGCCCCAATATGCCCAAGAATAAATTCTGGTTAAAGGGTGTGAAAAAAATGGAAAGCTCTGGATACATGCTGCCAAATGATCCTCTGGAAATACTAAATACACTCCCTAAGGCTACTGCAGCCTATGTATTCTAAACAGACTGACTGAGTCTGGAAATAAGTGTGTCTGATTCACTAGGGATGGATGTTTACCATAGCTGTGCTGCTCTTTGTAGAAGGGACTTTCAAACCAGGAGTGCAGAATGTAGGTGCCAAGGGAGAATGTGTGTGCTCAGCATCTAGAAGACACATACAAGGGCATGAAAATACAGATCTAAAAGACTTTAACTTTTATAAAATTTGTCAGTATCAACTGTACACTTTATTTTTAATAACTTGAAATATTCTAACTTTAGTGTGTACTTGACTGGAAAAAAAACTGTCATATTCACAATCTAATTATCATTCAAAGTTCAAAGTGTTAGTCGCTCAGTTGTGTCCAACTCTTTGTGACCCCATGGACTGTAGCCTGCCAGGCTCCTCTGTCCATGGAATTCTCCAGGCAAGAATACTGGAGTGGATTGCCATGCCCTCCTCCAGGGGATCTTCCTGACCCAGGGATCAAACCCATGTCTCCTGTATTGCAAGCAGATTCTTTACCATCTGAGTCACCAGGGATTAGCACTAATAAAAGTTTAGCAAGGTTGCAAGGTGCAAATGTAATGCACAAAGACAAACAGTTCTAGTATAAGCTCTACAAACAATAAAAACTATATTTGAAAAAAAATATATTTTACAATACCAACAAAACTATACCTACATATAAATTTATTAAAAACTGTGTAAGACCTTTATGGGAAAATCAAATTTCTGCAGATGAAACAGGAGGAGGAAGAGGTCAGGAAGGTCACTTGCCTTCTAAGATATTAGGGCTTACTCTAAAGCTATAGTAAGTAACTACAAGTTACTTGATTAGTCAGGGATGGAAAAACAGCCATTGGAACAAAAAAGAGATCCTAGAAACCATGCATAAAGAGAGATTTGCTGTCTGTAACAAAGTGTGAAAGAAACCTTAAATACTAGAGAGAAAAGTAAATATGTTAGCAAAATGATTAAACAGGCAAAATTTTACCTAGTCTAATCATCAAATGCTAGAAAAGATGGGACACAGGAATTCAAACAATGTTGCAGAGAGTAAACCAGAACAGCCACTCTATAGTATCATTTTAGCATTTTCTAGACTAAGTAAGTGATTCCCAGGTAGCTCAGTGGTAAAGAATCTGGCTGCCAATGCAGGAGATGCAGGTTTGATCCCTGGGTCAGGAAGATCCCATGGAGGAGGAAATGGCAACCCATTCCAGTATTCTTGCCTAGAAAATCCTATGGACAGAGGAGCCCGGTGGGCTAGTCCATGGGGTCACAAAGAGTTGGACATGACTTAATGACTAAACAACAACTATCCCTTAAGAAACAAATAAAATATGGCTCTATTAACAAGATTACACCTAACCAATATGCTCTTATAAGTTGAGCTCAGTTTACTATGAGTCAGTTGTATTTTTCCAATCTTGTTTATGCCATCAGTACTTGTTAATTTAATAAGAAGTCAGTGAAATTAGCACAGAAAGAGAACTTTTCTGAAAATATGTCCAAAACTTTAAAGACTTGACAGGATAGTTACCTTAAAAAGTTTTCCAATAAATTTGGTATAGATTAGATGATTATAATTATTCAAAATCATAAAACTCTAGGATTTTCAATTTTATATTTACATAAAAACCAATGTTTTCATGTTTGCTTGGACAAATGTGAAAACACTACATGAAAATATTTTAAGTTTTTCTACTATTAAAAAAATCCAAAATCTGAAATGATAGCTGATGTATTCTGGGTGTGGTTTATGTAAGAAAGATTATCTAGAACTCTAATCAATCAGCTGAAGCTAAATTCAAACAAAGTACTATTGGCTCTATATTAAAGATTTGTGAGTATTTATATTTTAAGTTAAAATGTTAACAAACAAGCTCAAAAATACTGAATACAATCAGGAAGAGTGTGAAAAACAGAAAACTGTATTTCTCTTGTATGAAATCATACTGAACCTGAATGGAATGGTATTTATATAATGGTACTTTATATAATTCAGTATTATGAACCGAGAAGATGCAGAAGGCTATTAGAATGTCTTAGGTGATAGCACCATTTATTGTACAAAATTCCAGATTCTTTCCAGGCTGAGAAATAACCTGAAATTCATACTTACCATTTTTTCCCAACGGCTGGGTTATGAGGCCAGGAGTGGCAAAGACATTATCACTGGGCACTGGTTCTGTTTCTGTGGTCTCACTGGTATGATTCATAGGTAAATATTAGAGTTAAAAAAAGTTAATATTAAATCTCTGGAAAATTATTTAATTTTATTATATATCATTAAGTCTGGACATTCAATTATATTTTATGGAAGATAAATTCCATGGAAATCTTTTTTCTCTTCTTTTTTTAAAATGTATATCCATAGCTCAAAAAAGGTTAAGAACTATTTTGTATTGGCAGCTTTGACTGAGAAGTGTTTAAAAATCTTTTGACTTAATTTCCTGGTGATCCAGTGGTTGGGATTCTGCTTTTTCCACTGCAGGGGGCGCAAGTAGGGGAAGTAAGATCCTGCATGCCACACAGGAAACTGTGTGCTCTTGGCTTCAAAATCATAAAGTGGAGTTTTATACCAGTATATAGACAGAGATTAAGAACATTGTTTAGACTAAGACTGAGCCTGCCATCTTTAATTAAAGTTGTTCTAGCCAATTACCCAGATGTCTGAAATATAGTTATAAAAAAGAATATCACTGAATACAATAAAATAGTTCAGTTAACAAACTGTCCTAGTGTAATTCACTGAATAATCTTTACTTGAAAAACATCTTCAGTATATATTAAATTCTTAGGTAAATTAGAGGCTGTTTCTGGGCTATTCTGTTTCTACAATAGGTCCATTCTGTCACAATTTGATACTGTTTTACTTATTGTAGCTTTATATATTTTAATAACTAGTAAGTTAAATCCCTTCATTACTGTTATTTTTCATTATTTTCTAGTTATCCTTACTTTTTACTATTCCAAATCATTTGAATAGTTTTCTCACACATCCCTCATGCTCCACCTTAGAGGAAAAAAAAAAAACCTAAGGTTTTATTTTAATTGTATGATATCCATAAATTAACTTGATATGATTAAACATCTTAGTAATATTCAGTCATTCTGTGCAGGAACATGGTATACTTTTTCATTCTAATTTTCAGAAATGTTCAGTGGTTTTATTCACATAGGTCTTTCACATACAACTGCAGGAGTATTTTACTTTTTTGTTGAGAATTTTAATGACTTTTCCCCTGTATTTACCAACTAGTTATAATAAAATATAGGAAAGCATATTATTTTAAGTAGTTATCTCATATTTATATAAAATAAGTCTTACACAAGCTTCTACAAATTTTAGCTGTGACTTTCTCAAGTTGCCCAGGTACAAAACATGGCCTAGAAATACATCATGGTAATCTTTATTTCTGTTTTGTATCTCATTACATTGGTTACAACATCAAGAACAATGTTAAAAAAAAAACAGAAACAAAATAAAACCAATGATGTTTAATAATGATGACAGCTTCACTATTAAGTCAGATATTCACATTATTACATTAATGAAGCATCCTTCTACTGAGAGATAACCAATTGAAATGAAGAACAGGTGTCTAATTTCATAAAATTCTTGACATCCATTGAAATTATCCTATTTTTTTTTTTGAATCGTAGGAAACTTGTATTTTACGAGTTTCCAAATACTCCTGTCTCTCTTCTCCAATTGTTTTTTTCTGACACTTTAAGTTGAATGTTTATTTTCTTTTTTTAATAACTACAGTTCTTAAAGATATGCATTTAAGAGTGGTACTTTGACATGTGGTATTTTCATTTTAACATTAATTACCACTTCCATACAGATCACTCCCATATCTCTTCAGTGTAGCATGGAATTCATCACTGTGCTTCAAATTCGTATTTCAATATCTAAGCTTAAGAGTACCTCAAAACTAACATGTAAAGAAACTCAACACGTTTACCTCCAAGCTGTGCTCAGTCGTGGCTGACTCTACAACTTCATGGACTGTAGCCTGCCAGGCTCCTCTGCCCATGGAATTTTCTAGGCAAGAACACTGGAGTGGGTTGCCATTTTTCTCCAGGGACCCCCAAGCTGCAGGTATTCTTTTAGTTCCTGAATGTCATCTCAGGCAACAAATCAGAAATCTGTGCTCTATCCTAGATCCTCTTTTCTTCCCAAGTTTCCATATGGAAACAATCCCCCCACTTCTTTTTTCTTTTTAGTAATTTTAGTTTTTATTTCATCCCCTCTTCTCTATCCCATCAAATACAAAGTGTTTTCAGACTATTATTCAAAATCTTCTATATCTTCTAAACCAAGGAAACTAAGAGCTCACACTTTACTGATGGGATTGGTGATTCAGAGAAGTTTGAAATATGAAGTACCTGGAAACCTTTGAAAGAAAGGTATTGTCTGAGAGAGATTTCTTCTAGGGGGAAAAAATCAATAAATACAAAAGATTTAGAAAGTTAGATAAAATATTCCTTTTAAGAAAGCTGCTTACCTGTTAGTTTTCACATTTTTAAGTCCAATTGTGTAATCGTCATTTAAACACATAGTATATTCAGAGATACCAAAGTGTTCTAATTTAGGAGTTACACACTCAAAATCATCCATCTTTAGTGCACATTTTGGAGTTTTTACTAGTGAGTATTTGGAAAATGGAGTTAAAACTTTTGGCTCTTCCTTCTGGTTGTTTACTGCTTGGGGAGGGTTTGGTAGAACTTGGGATACAATGTACCGCTCAAGTCCAAAATCAGAAAGTTGTGGACTACGCGGTGACTTCTCAGAAACAGAAGTGCTTGCAGCAGCAGAATCCAACAAATCATCTTTCACGTCAGGCTTCACAGGATGTTCACATTCACTGGACTCTGGTTTAGAGTCAGTGACTTCTTGCTCATCCACTGAGAGGAAAAATCAAGGTCATATTCTGGTCAAATATCAAACTAGAAAATGTCATATACTACAACCACATAAAACAGCTCCATCTGAAATGTCCTGTCAGCAAAAGCTCTCTCCTTATTTTCTAAGGAGAAAATATTCTTGTTTTTTAATTTCAATTTTACTTTCACTTTCTGATATGTACCGCTTATATCCCCATATTTCATCTTAAGGATACATCAGAGGACGGAAGTAAACTGTTCAAAGATGAAAAATCAGTACCCACAAATAAAACTGCAATTTCTTAACACTAGCCCTATAGATCTCTGTCAGAATCTTTTGGGCTCAAAGGCAGAGAAAAGGGGTAAGTTTAGGCTGTACATTTACTTGACCAACAGATCCAACAGATTGAGGGAAGTGAAGAGGCACACACTTTTTCTTTGAAGACATTACTTTTCTTGTTTTAACTGGCAGCTGAAATGAACTAGGATAGGATATTGTCTTTGTGTGCATGATAAGCCATAACACAATAAATCTGAAGGATGCACCATTTAAAAAAAAAAAGGTTATAAAAACCTTGATTTCCTGGCTTTTGGCCCTTGAAGAGCTGCTGATTCGGAATTGTGTTTTGGCATTGTACTTTCTGTTAATTCTGAGAAACTCAGAAGAACTACCAGAAAAACTACTGTTGAATTGATTACAATGCTGTCACTGATGAGTTTAATGAAATTAAGTCATCACCATTATTACTACCTCTTAGGGAGGTATTTATTAGCAGCTCTATGTCACTAGTGAGTAAAAGTAATTTAGAGAAATTACTATTACATGTAATGGTAACTAGTGGAACCAGTTTCTGAGTAACCAAAGTCAACTTGTTCACACCAAAGTCAACTGAATTCTTTCCCTTATACCATGCAGACTGTTTAACTTACCTTTCATATATCTCAATATGTACATATTTGTTGAATCTAATTAATGTTTTATTTACACACAAAGATCATTTTCATAACAGAAATGAAGACACTGAAGCGTACTGAAATTAGTTCCTCACAGGTATGGCTATAACACTAACAACAATAGTTTAACACTGGATGATTAGGATACAAGGTCCTGTTCTAAGCAAATTTTGTCTCATTTAATTCTTACACAATCTCAGAGATGGATATTATTAAATATCTCTACTTTATAGGACTTCCCTGGTGGTCCCGTAGTCAGAACTCAGCACTTGCAGGGCTGTGGCCCTGGTGAGGTCAGAAAACAAAATCTCTACTTTAGAGATGACAAATTGAGGTACAAAGTAACTGGTCAAAGATGAATATAACTAGTAAGTAGTGAAATTAGATTTGAACTCAGGCAGTTTGACTCTAAATTCTAAACTACCATGTTCTCCTACCCGTCATCAACATTTTATAACTAAAAAGGACTTTATGAATTTACATAGCCCAGATTTTCTCATTCTATGGAGGAAGAAACTGAGAACGAGAAAAGTGAAATAGCATGGCTTAAGGGTGGTCTCTGAGCTCCTTATTGTCAAAACTGACCAACAACCAGCTATCCTTAAGTCACATAGATTTATCTTGTACCCTTCTTTCACCCAGCACTGTATTGGTTCTCATCTAGCATTTGTAAAGGAGAGCAAGAACTGCCTTCACACTGCACTACCCATCAGCACTGCATCCAGAACACAGGGATTGCTGAATAAACAATCAAATGTCTATCACATAATGGCAGAATCAGAACTAGAAATGATGGCCAACCCTACAGTAGTCTTAATCATGCTGCTTTCTTTAATACTAGAACAAATGCTATAAAAGGCTAGTTATTCACACCTGAATTTTTCTTGGCACGTGGAGTATATCCATACTTCTGGAAAAACTCTTTTATTTTCATGATATCCATTGAATTCTTTTTCATCAATATTTTTGTTGCTTTTATGAAACCAATGTTTTCTTGACTTTCCAAGTTTGCTTTATCAAGAAGAATATTGACATCATCCTTTCATGAAGAAACAAAGTACATTTTAATTGAACATTTGCCTAAGTCTATTTATAATTTTGTAAAAATTACCACTTAAAAATGATAAATTAATATTGTAGGAGTGATACCTTTAGAATTCGTACTTCTGAGTTAAGGTCATGTAGAACTCTCATTGGACAATCTTCAAAGTCTTCTACGAATATTGAATGGAAAAAGTATAACAAGGAAATGGAGGAAAAAATAGAAAATGTAAGTTTTTTAGAATTATAAAATCTTTATATAGAAAAGTAAAGAAATATACAGTTTGATGAACTTTCAAAGTGAACATATGTACATTGATAAGCACGTAAAGCTTAATGGAAAGCAATTCTGCTGTATATTAAAAATCCAAAACCATTCATACAATTCTGTGTCTTATAGCATTATCTCAACCATGCAAACAAAGTAAAGCATAACAAAGCAACAGCGAAAAGTAAGAATGGTAGAAAAGCTATTGAAAATTAATAGCGGTGTCTTTTGGTGGTGAAGTTACAGAAAGATTTTCTTCTTTCTACTTTCCCATTACCTCAAACTTTTTGCCGTGCACATATATTGTTTTCACAGTCACAAGCATAAATGTTTTGAAATGGCTGAAAAACTATCGACAACATTATTAAAGTAAAAAGAATCTGTGTCTATAGGGTGCAATATTTTAAGGCATATTACAATTACGACACAAACAGTAATCTCAAAATCTGAATTACTCTTCCAACAACTTAAAAAAAAAAAAACCTAATACAAACGTCAGTGGTGGAGAATTCTGCTTTATTAGAAAGCAGTGTTGAGTAACTAGCGTTTCTGCAGGCAATACGGATTGCTGGGGAAAATACAGACACTACGACTGTGGGCTATTTTAGTTCAGTTCAGTTCAATCACTCAGTCATGTCCGACTCTTTGCGACCCCCCACGGACTGTGGTCTACCAGGCTCCTCCATCCATGGGATTTTCCAGGCAATAGTACTGGAGTGGGTTGCCATTTCCTTCTCCAGGGGATCTTCCCGACCCAGGGATCGAACCCGAGTCTCCCACATTGTAGACAAACGCTTTATCATCTGAGCCACCAGAGAGGTCCTATTTGGGTGAGATCAAAGTCACTCCACGTGTCAAGAACAGTGCGGAGAAGCTGCTATGAAACGATACGTTTCCTCTTTTGGTCGTGTTTTTATTAACACACTCTGTGGACTTGAAGCCCGCCCCCGCCCCCTGGGATGGCACCTCACACCCTTCACCGTCCCTCCCGCGGCTCACTCACCGCTGTCCTCTCCGTCCAGCGCTCGCTGCAGCCGGGCCGTCTCGCTGTCCAGGGTGACGGCCAGAGACCGCAGCTTCCCGCAAAAGCCTCGGATCGGATCCATACGAGAGGCCAGCTCCCCGCCTCAGAGCTCGCGGCCGTTTGAATCCCGGCACCTGAAACGCCATTGGTTCTCGTAGCCGCGAACGGCCTTTCTCGCGATAGGTGAAGCCTCACGCGAGGAGACGGCTGCGGGCCGGACGGGGCTCTTCCGGCACCCCACTTCCGGCGTCGTTCCCCGGCGTGCGGAGAGCTGCTCTGACGCGCTGCTGGTGAGTGAGGCGGCGCGGGGCGAGGCGGCCTGCGGGCGGCGGCGGGGCTCTCCTGTCAGTATTCCCCCGTCTGGCGCGCAGTCAGCTCTTCTTTTCCCCTCGGCAGGCACCATGTTCCTGACCGCGCTCCTGTGCCGCGGCCGCATCCCCGGCCGGCAGTGGATCGGGAAGCGCCGGCGGCCGCGGACCGTGTCGGCGCTGGCGAAGCAGAACGTGATCCGTCGCCTGGAGATAGAAGCGGAGAACCACTACTGGCTGAGCCGGCCTTTCCTCACGGCCGAGCAGGAGCGCGGTCACGCGGCGGCCCGCAGGGCGGCCGCCTTCGAGGCGCTCAAGGCGGCGCAGGTCGCCAAGTTCCCCGCGCACCGTCGGCTGGAGGACCAGCTCGACCACCTCAACGTCACCAGGAGGTGGTACTGACCGTGAGCCCCGCCGGCCCCCGGCCCCGCAAGCTCCACTGCCCGCAGTGGGGGCTCGTTCGCCCCGGGTTACTCCCTCGCCTCCCTGAAGGACGGTGCGGACATGGCCTGCATCACAGACGACACAAACGTCGTTTGTACGAGGCCGTAATAAAGCTACCAACTGTGCTTTTGGAGCGTCAGTGCGAGATTCTTGTTGGGGCTTGATCACGCCGCCGTACCTTCTGTTAACAATAATTGACTAAACGCAAATGGAAAAAACGAGCTTTTTCAGTTAAACAGACTCATAGAAATAACGTTTTCTGCTGAGCTTTACATCTAAAAGTGGGCAACTGAAAATTCTGTTCAGTAAAAGCTAAATTAAAGCTTTTTTGATAAAGCCATCTATACTTTTGGCATGGTAAGCTACAGTGTTGTCACAGTCAAGTAATACTTGTGGTTACCCCTAATTAGTAGATTCTTATTTCTAACTCAACACTGTATGTTACCAGATTTTCAAGATGGCAAAAATCATAGCTGTTCTTTCATTTTGTAAATAGCAGTTTATAACAATAACAACAACTGTTCAAATACAGGACTTTATTTATTAATAAAGTAAATCATCATCATGATTTCGGGAGAAAAGTTTTAAAATGTTCAACCTTCATGTTAATGTAAGTTAGGCCACCCAAAGACAAAGCAAAGATATTAAAGTCATGGTCCAGGGTTACACTCATGAGAAACAAATACAAGACTTATGGGACTTGATAAGTAAAAACAAAGTAAACTGTATTCCAAATTCATTTATATAAAAACATTAAAGATCACCTTAAAATAGTGTCCATCTTATGGGCATAGACTTATCTGCAATCGTACAAATACGATAAACTCAGCTAATCGCTTTCTGAAGCTTTTAATACAAATACAGTTCCTTGCTGCTTTATGCAACTCAACAAAATATAAAGTGAAGTCGTTAGAAAAATATGGACCTTTCTGAATCTATATTGCATTTTAAATTTAAATTGGAAAATACAGTTCACATATGAAACATGATTTCAGGTTTACATATTAGCTGTATCATAGAATATTAAATATGGTCTTTATTTTGGCTGAAATGCAAAAATATTGTTAATTTCTCAACAGGTTAGTTAAAAATACTTTGCATTGATAGCAGTGTAAGCAAAACATCTGTAAATCATTTGTCTTCAGCGCTGCAAATATGCAGATCCTAACACTAAGCCCTTATATGCATCTGCTTTAAAGATGATGGAAGGGAATCTCACATAACTGAAAATCTGTAATTTAAGCCACGGGACAAACAGTCAAAATCTGCTTTCAACAGAAATAAAATTCAAGTACACACTGCATATTTGATTTAAGCTAAGTTCAATTAACTTAGGACACGTTGGGTCATAACCACTAAATATGTAAAAGGATTTTAAAAACTCTTCCATATGCAAAGATGAAACTGCTTTTGTAAGCGGTGCAAGTTTAGTGACCACTAAGTTGCAGCTGCTCTTTGGTTTGGCACAGTGACAGTGGTCAGATGTCTCAGGTACTGAATATTGAAGTCAGTTCGTACCCAGGTAAATTCAAGTTTCCTGTCTTAATTTGTTTTTAATGGCAATGGCAAGACCTGAAATTCAACTTTACTTTCCTTAAACATCACAACTGTTTAAGTGCTTGAAGCAACAAAGATCCTACTAATACATTTTGACCATTTTACCCCACAGGTTGGCAGCACTGATCTGTAGCATCTGAAATACTACCGAGACAGCCTTTCCCTGGTTCCCATCCCACTGCAGGCCCTTGCTGAATAGTCATTAACATGTATGAATAAACTTGGTCAATTATTATTTAAAATGTGGCAGATGCTGGCCATAAATTAATTCAACCAAAGGTAACAAAGGCTTTAGCTGAAAATTTCTGAAAAGGTGTATACTATGTTATTAAAAAAGATGATGTTAAATGACAGAAATTGAAAGAATTGAAAAAGACAAAAACACCCAAAATCACCAAGATAGGTTAAGGGGAAAATTAAATTTCCTCAGTTGTTAATCCGGTGCATGCAAATCTTTTGACTTGAATATAGAAATGTCCGTAAGAAGTACCAGGAGGACATTTCTGAAAGCAGGCATATACATTTAAATATTTACCATTTCCTTATAATATGCAAACTGCCAGACTAAAGTGATGTTTCTGGTTGGAAACTGATACCCCTTAACTCTCACAAACATTTTCTAGAATCAAGATTATTAAGACTACTGTGTTGAAATAAAGGTAGAAGCCGTTATTATAGTATTCCAAATTGTATTTTCAAAGCTAACCCATTCCTCTAGTTCAAAGGGGAAAAAAAATTACTTCCTTTTAAAATCTAGTACTATAGCCCATGAAGTTAGACAAATCCTATAAACCTGCAGTAGATGGCTATAAAATTTATGCTACATTAGGAAATTACAGAGCTATCCCTAGTATACTGTTTGGCGTCCAAAAATATTTGTTGGACAAATGTACAGTAAGGTATTGTGCAGAATTAGAAATCAAAGAATGTTAAAGGTTGTCCCATCCAAATCATAACAGCCCTTCCCCTACTCCCATTTTATAGAGAGAAAACTAACTGGGCTATTTATAGATGCTGGTTAAAATCTACCCACTTCCAGCAGCAATCAATCATTTTAGTTTTGACTAAACAGTATAAACAGGACGGTACATTGTTTCTCCTTATAGGATATGAATTCTAATCTTTAAAGTTAACGCAGCAATTTCTGTCGTGTAGATTACACTTCAAAAGGAAAAGGGGGTAAGTGTCTAGGCAGAAAGGGGTTGCTGTTAGGAAGTCAGATTTAAAATCCTGCAATGAGCACTGTTTATAATAGCCAGGACATGGAAGCAACCCAGATGCCCATCAGCAGATGAATGGATGAGGAAGCTGTGGTACATATACACCATGGAATATTACTCAGCCATTAAAAAGAATTCATTTGAATCAGTTCTAATGAGATGGATGAAACTGGAGCCCATTATACAGAGCGAAGTAAGCCAGAAAGATAAAGACCATTACAGTATACTAACACATATATATGGACTTTAGAAAGATGGTAACGAGAACCCCATATGCAAAACAGAAAAAGAGACTCAGATGTATAGAACAGACTGGTGGACTCTGGGAGAAGGTGAGGGTGGGATGTTTCAAGAGAACAGCATTGAAACATGTATATTATCTAGGGTGAAACACATCACCAGCCCAGGTTGGGTGCATGAGACAAGTGCTCGGGCCTGGTGGACTGGGAAGACCCAGAGGGATCGGGTGGAGAGGGAGGTGGGAGGGGGGACTGGGATGGGAAATACATGTAAATCCATGGCTAATTCATTTCAATGTATGACAAAAACGACTTTAATGATGTAAAGTAATTAGCCTAAAAAAAAAAAAGTAAAAAAATAAAAAAAAATCCTGCATATGAAAGTGAAATCCATCTCAGAATGGAAGTTTTGAATGACTGCTCAGGTTGTTTCTTGACAGTGGCTAGGGTTAATTGTTATACTGAACAGTTTTACCCTCCATTCAAATGCATTTTAAGTTGCTGTCTAAGCTGTTATGGGATTAATGTAAAAAGTTTCAAAGCAAATTTCAGTCTTAAAATTGAAATTTGAAAAAAAAATTGAAATTTGAAAGTCAACTCAACAGCAGGTAACACTCTGAAAACATATTTTAACAGGTTACTTATAGCTTCTCTTTTTTCTTCTAGTCTCTTCAACTCAATCCTGTATTGAGTATTTCTATAGCACATGTCCAGCTTTTCTATAGCTTTTCTATAGCATGTCCACATTTCTATAGCACATGTAACCTTTGTTTCCCCACCCGTATAAATACCCATCAAAGTTCAACAAAAAAGTGCATTAAAAGCAGACACAAAAAATTTCTTACACTGCCAAATAAGCCTTGGGCACAAAACTACAATTGGTTTAATTAATGCTTAGAACTAAGCCTTCAATGAATTATACAAATGTGCTCCAAATGATTATATTTAGGTATCTAAATCCTTCTGAGTGTTATTTTATAGCCAACAATAAAAAAATCTGTTAAAAATGTTGAAAAGTATAAAACAGTAACTATAAATTAGCAAACACCAAATTTTTTTTTTAAAAAGCAGTTATTTTCTTTCTTACACAGTACAAGCAGCAGTAATTTGCATATTATTATTCACTTTCAGCCACCATACTGACCTAGATGTACTTCACTTAAGTTTTTAGCTTGTGTTTCTAGAGTGAAAATTTATATGGATACTAAGAAACAACTCTTAATGATGTAACCCAGGTATCAAAACAATGCGTATGTCATGTTAACATGTGACCTGATAGCTCATATTATGGCATCTCATGTTATTATGAGAAAATGTTACTTCCAAAGGAAAATGAAGTCTCTTTTGTAGCTGTGAGTCAGTGCTGAACAAATGGGCTCATTTAAGATTAAGGCATCTTCCCGCTCTGGAGCAGTGCTTCTGTGGATCCAGAAATCCGTACAAAGGTTTCCTTTTTTAAAAAATATATCTTCGTTTATACTCCAATTATTTCATCCCATTGATCATTTTCTTGCAAATAAAATATCAGCCCACAATATGTTTTTGTAAACCTACAAAACCAGAGACAATTTAATTATTAAAACTTGATGTTATATTTCTGAAAATAAGATTGATTAAACAGTTCTCTGGGCTAAGGTATAAAGCTGCTAATATAACAAGAAAGGAAATACTTTAATTCTACTAATATACTCTTAATAATAAAGGTTTTTAGAAGCTGAAGACAAGGGCCAGATCACTGTCTCCCTCCCTGAAGTCATCACATGAGCATTTTAATAGAGGCCGAGGCTTACACTTTTCCCTTACTGTTAACCCAGGCCTAAGCTGAGGAGACTGCTACTGGATGTCTGTGGGAATTTCAGTGAGGATTCTTAAACAGGAGCATCAGCCATCATTCCACCTATACGCAGAAGAGCAGAGCCAGGACCGGGAGCCCTGTCTGAGGAGGACCAGCTCTCCCCGGGGCAGCTGGTGACACGTGATGATTGCCTGTGGCTCAGGCTGCCCCCTGCCTGCTGGGAGCCCCAACAGGGGCTGGTGATGTGCACACGGGCTCCAGGTCCTCGTAAGGAACTGAATGCTAATGACAGACACCCAGGAGGCAGCAGATGTCCCTAGGTGAGATTACAGGTAAGAACAGGACAACTGGGGTAATAAAAGGTGTCCTGTCTTACACCGCTCAGTCTGTATACTTTGTTAGGCAGCAACAGGGAACCAATAAACACCACACGCGGGTTTTAAAAAAAGCTGCACATGATGCTTCTGAGCCAGTGAGCTTAGCTTCCAACTGACACGTGCACGGCTGTCTTCTCGAGGGCTCAGTGTCCCTGCGGGTCAGTGTCAGCGTCAGCACTGCCCTCAAAAGGGCTCCTAGTCCTATTTAAGTCAGCCTCCTCTGGCTACTGTTCTGGGCACAGAGACGACATCACTGGCCTGGGTACTTGGCTACAGAGAACTGCTTTCTGCTGCATCTTTTACCAAGTAAATAACATCAATGAACCTCTTTAAGTCTCAATCACTCTTTTCTGGATCAAATTTCTTCAGCACTGGGCAAAAGTCACCTTTTCCCCTTAAATAAATTAATAAGGTACCATTTACTGAAAAGGTTAGTTGTCCATATACCAATCCTAAACAATTTTTCTTCATTTCTTCATTAATCTACCAATAAATATTTAGTAAGACTGTGCTAGGAATGGGAAGAAAACTGGGAGGTAGGCAGCTGTGACCTTTCAATCTGTCCTGAGCTATTTGATACTATAATGGAAAGAATGAGAAAGACTCAACTGCAGACTCTTGAGAGTATGACATGCAAATAAAGGGCAATTTTTGGAGAAATTACCTTTATACTGTCTTACCTTGCTCTTATTCAATTGGTTAGTTATGAACAAGTGGTACTCAATTTTCTATTGCCACTGTTACATGGTTATTTGTCCCTGTAAGCACATAATTATATATGACATGACAGAAAAAGAAGTATTAGGTTCCTAGCTAAATGTTAAAATTGATGATCACAGTAAAACCAAGTCTTATGGAAGCACTACATAGGCTTCTGGTGCCAACCATCTGTCTGCTGTTAGAACCCAGAAGGAAGGAAAGCAGTGCTAAGATTTGCAAGTCTGGTTTTCACACTAGGTGAAAATGTCCACTGGCTCTAAAGATGTTTAACAGCAGTCATTTCAAGTCCAAAAACCTGATTTTCCCTTGACTTCATACTGAGGGGCAAATAACCTGGATGAAGGCCTTAATGATGCTCAGTTAAGAGAGTTTAAATGCTGCTGAAAGCCAAAACAATAAGTCAGAAATTCTGACAATAAGTTTTCAAGTTTTAGGCTCTTTCTTACAGTTAGTTACAAATTGATTGTTAGTTACAAATGGATCTGAATGTCCAAACCATTTTCCTAGAGTGCAAGAAGAATATTATTACTAGTGTTATTAAAAACCACAGACATGTATAAAGCTAGTAAATGGTCAGACTACCTATTACAAACCCAGACCTGACTCAAAAATCCCACTTCTATCTTACCAACTGTTCTAGAACGTATCCACAAATTCATGAAATGATTAAGAGTCATCACTAAAAGGTTAAAATATACTCAGTAAACTCTTTTTATACTAAGAAAAGATAGCCAAAGAGTACAAGGCATTCCAAAATTATTATCTCTTCAGGGACTTCCCTCAGGGTCCAGTGGTTAAAAACTTCACCTCCCAATGCAGGGGGTGCGGGTTAGATCTCTGGTCAGGGGGCTAAAATCCCACATGCCTTGTGGCCAAAAAACCAAATCAAAACAGAAGCAATCGTAACGAGTTTAATAAAGACTTAAATTATTTTCAAATAAGCGAAAGCTATGACCCTAAAGAATAACCTTGTTTAAACATTATCCAGAATATTGTGCCTAAACAACCTTCTACATCTGAGGTGATGAAATACATGGCTGGATAACAACAAGGAAAAACAAAAAACTGAACAGAAAAAAAACACTACACTTCCTCACTGAACCACTACACTTCCTCACTGAACCCTCACTTCTGTGAAAGCTCCAAATCAACACTATCAACCCACAAAGACATTTTATTGAAAAGTTTCAGATATTTTAGAATTTTAAAATACCACATAGTGTATTTTGCTTTGTCCACATTTATTAAGTCTGGTGGTTTTCATTTTAAGCAGATGAAGCAATGTTTTCAGATGACAAGCATTACCTGATCCGCCAACACCTTCTTCAGATCCACTCTCCAGCCACTGAGAGTCACTGTCCAACAGGCGGTTTTTTGATTCACTAAGCGGTTTGATAGGAAAGGGCTGATTTGAGCCAATACTGAAAGAAGAGCAAATCATTCAGTAAAGAGTTTAATGCTCGCTTAAGGGTACTTAATTAATAAGCAGCAAATTAGTATTCCTTTTCCTAAATACGTAAGGGCAACGCATGAGATCTCAGCACTCTGAAAAAACTCCATCTTCAAAAGAAAAATATGCCCCCAACCCCCGATCAAATGGCTCTCTAGACCCAAGAATCGGTACTCAGCACTGCCAATGAAAACAATTAGGCAAAAGAAAAATAGCTTCAGAGGCCAATCTGAAATGTGTTTAACGTGTTAATGTTAATCAAGAGCTGTAAGGTAGCACAGAACAGGTGAGGATCTAGGTCTGTGGCCGGGACAAAAAATTACCTGTCATTTCCCAAGTTTTCTGCTTTCTACCTCTGCAGTATAGATCTAAGGGGGAAAAATGATTCAGTGATTCAGTGCAGACTTATTTTTCTAGCTATGAGATCCAGGGAGGGAGGGAGTGGAGGAACACAAGAAGGAGGAAAAGGGAACTAATATTTTGGGGTACACACTATGGGCCAGACACTGCACTAGGTGCTTTCATAATTGCCAGCTTCACAACAACCCCAGAAATAGGATGAATCCTCCTTTCAAAGAGCTGGCAGCCAATGCTCATACTAAGTAACTTGTTCAGGCCCACAGTAAATGTTAGAGCTGTGAGGTCCCAAGGCCTTAGGTTCTAGGTTCTAAGGCCCATGTTCTAACAAAACTAATCTATGACCCCTTCTCCTCCACAGTTTATTTCTGGAGTAAATACGTTTCAAGTGTTTCACTTTGACAGAGGTACCTCTATCTTTTTAAAAATTTCATCTAAAATGAACTATTTCTCTGAATTTATGAATCAGTATGCTTGCCATACAAACTCTGAGAAAATATCTTCTAAGATGAATAAGAAAAATTTTTGTATTTGTATTTTTGAATCCTCATTCATAATATTTTCACAATGCAGTTAAAATCTGTTTATCAAAATAAAATAGACAATAGTACAATGACTAACTTCTTTGAAAATATAACTGATAGAAACCAACATAATCAAATCTCAAAAGAGTCTCTGTTTCCAGGAAGACGCAGCACAGGTAGGGAAGCCATGCTTCCTTCTCTGCCCAGACACTTCCAGTGACACGAGCCTGTCTTGGCCCAACTACTAACAGCAGGCATTCATTTTCTTACTCTCAAAGTGTTCCAGTTTGAATGGTTACCAAGCATATCAGCTGTATGCATACACTGACCCTCAGTTAAAAACCTGAACAGAATTTACCTTTCCTGTCTCTGCCGGCTTGTCACATTCCTACTGGATTTATCTAAGTGTAACACACACACACAGATTGCTTTGTAATGAATTCTGAAAAACTTAACAATAAGAAGCACACCTTCTGGCACTTTCACTTTGGTTTGAGACAGAAGCTTGCTCTGGATCCGTCCCCACAAGGCGAGTCGGAAAACTGCAGCCGTCACCCTGGCTGCATAATGAAAAATACCAGTGATAATTTAATCATGTCAAGTTAAATCAAAGTGGTCAAATTTAACACCTATTTTTCAGAAGCATGGTATAAAGAGATTACTGTAACTTGCCATTTCAGAGAATTATTTCTAAGATTTCTAATTCAGAGGGTTATTAGACTTCACTGAGGAAGTAAGTCTTTTATAATTTACATGCAGTTAAAAACAATATCTTCTGACTATTAAAATAATGATGACTACTAAAGTTATGATACTTTAAACACATAGATTCAAACATCTGGATAACTGACTTGCCTGTCACCATCACTTAAGATATCACAGATGCTCAAACTGAAATTCAAGATGTAAATTTCATATATTTATTCATTTAACAACATTCATTAAATAAATATTTACTGGATGGTTTAAGTACCATTTTAAATGCTAGGGACATATCACTGAATCAAAGAAAAGAAAATCTAAAAAAGTACAGTTATGCCTCACTTCCACATTCTTAAAACATCAAAACTTTGTCCAGGAGGGAGTTCCACTTCCAGCCAAGATGGATTAATGGGAAGATTTGACCTGCTGTCAAACAGTTGACAGACAACTGTTTTCCTAACAGGCCTCACAGAACTGCGGTGTCTAAGAGAAGTGAAGGCAGCCAAGGAGTCACAGTTTCTGCCAGAGCCTGAGCACCAGCGGGTGGGGGTAGGGAGGGGTTGTGCTGGTGAGCAGGGCAAGGTGGTCTCGCTGAACTGAGGGGACAGAGCTGAGCAAGAGGAAGATGTGCAGAGAAAGGGCTCCAGCAATCTGCACAGCGCTCTACTTGAGCCTTGAGATGAATTCTCAGCCATGCGCGTGAATCTGGGAAAAGAGCAACTGCACAGTGGAGCTGCAGCGCACTACCGGCGTATCAGCTGTATGCATCCAGCTCTGCTGGACCCGCCAGAGCAGAGAGACCGCACTGAACACGGGGATCTGGTGGGGCGCCCAGCGGGCTCTCGCCTTTGTTGTAGGATTAACTTGCTACTCTACACCAACCTAGCAAAGGTTAAGACAAGCCTCAGGAGGACTCAGCTGACAACTCAAGTAACTTAACAGTCTGCCAAAACAAAATCCAACATTCTTTAAAGGGAGACAAATTTTAAATACTCAGAATTTGAAATGTCCACCATCCAATCAAAAATTACTAGCATTAAAAAAAAAAAGTCAACAGAAAAGGTTCAGAAATGACCATGAAAACCAGAAATATAGACTTAAATGAAGAGAAATGTAAGATATGAAGAAAGAACCAAATCGAACTTCTGAAGTTGAAATATATATATATATCTAAAATCTGAAATAAAAACCTCACTGGATGAGCTTAACAGTAGACATTACAGAAGAAAAGGTCAGTGAACTCACAGACATGCGACAGTAGAAACTATCCAACTTGAAGCAAAGAAAGAGGGAAGAGAGGGGCAACAGCAACAACCAGTGGGTCTCAAGGCATGTTTTAAGAAGAACCTGAAAAGCTAGTGGGGGGAGGGAACCGGAAGAGGGAAGCATTCGGCAAAAACAATAGAAAATTATATCAAAATTACTCAGACTTGATGGAAACCAAAGTCTAATGAACTCCAAAGAGGATAAACATACGGAAAAGCATACAGAGGAACATCATAAACAAAACACTTGTAACCAGTGATACAGTCAGAGTCTTAAAGGAGCCAGAGAAGGGGAGAGACAAAGAGTAATTTACAGGCATACCTCATTTTATTGCGCTTCATTCTGCTCTTGGCAGATACTGATTTTTATAAATTAAAGGCTTGAGGCAACCCTGCACTGGGCAAGTAAGTCTTCCAGTGCCATTTTTTCCAACAGCATTTGCTCATTTTGCATCTCTGTGTCACATTTTGGTAATCCTTGGACTATTTCAAACCCTCCATTAGCAAAAAGATCAAGACTTGCTGAAGGCTTAGATAATGATTAGCAGTGTTAAGCAATAAAATATTTTAAAATCAAAGTATGTACATTGTCCTTCTTTAAAAAAGATCTAATGTTATCACTTAACAATCTATGGTTAGTATAAATATTGCTTTTATATGCACTGGGAAACCAAAAAATTCGTATGACTCACTCTATTGTGATATTCGCTTTACTGTGGGGGTTGGGAACCACACCCGCACTATCACTGAGGCGTGGCTGTACAAACAGTGGAATAAAGGTATTAATAAGAGGGAGGCTGATTTACTGACACAAACACAAGCCAGAGGATAAGGGAATGATATCTTTAAAGAAGAGAAAAAAAAAAAACAAAAAAAACACAAGCCAAGAAAACCAATTGCCAACACTGAAATTTCTGTTTAGGAGAAAATAACCTTAAAAAATAAGTCTGGGTTCCAATCAGTCAAGAGTGGCCAAGCCTGAATATGAGAGACAACAGATAAAGCACACAGAAGACGCTGGTGCGATTCAAGGTGAAACAGGAAGACTGAAGGAGAAGTGAGCTGCCCACCAGTGAGCCGAGGCAGAGACCCCGCGGGCCGCAGACATGCAGCTGTGGGAGGCGGGTGGCAGAAGAAATACTTGAAGAAGTAGTGGTTAAAGGTATTTTTCCAAATTTGATGAAAGTTTAAGTTACAGATCCAAGAAGCTCAACAATCATAAGCACAAGAATCATGAAGAAAATAATAACATCATTTGCATGAAACTAGTGATAAACAAATTGTATCAAACCAGAGGTAAACAAAATCTTAAAAGTGGGCAGAGAAAAAAGTCATATTACACAAATAGAAAAAAGATAATGTCCACAAATGTCTCTTCAGAAAAAATGCAAGCAACGTCTACAATTCTATACCAAGCAAAAATGCCTTTCAAAAATGAAGGCAATTGGGAATTCCCTGGGAGTCTAGTGGTTAGGACTCTGTACTTCTACGGCCAGGGCCCAGGTTCAGTCCCTGGTCAGGGAATTAAGATCCCACATGGTTTGGCAAAAAAGAAAAAGAAGGCAAATATGTCATTTCCAAACAAATAATAAGCAATACAGTTAATTAAGGGGAAAAAAAAGGAACCCACAGCACTTATAAATACGGTACTTGAATTTCAAATACTTTTTCCTTTTTTATAATGACTTTTGTGTATGGATGGCCTAGGATGGATGAAAATTTGGAAGAAAAGGAAATTAATCACTTTGAGCATATATTCTCATTTAAATTTGAGGTAAAAACTGCATTATGTGTTGGGTCTTCTTTAAGATACAACTGATTATATAATCTGTACTGGAAAAATCTCTGAAGATATGGCTAATATATTCTTATGATTCTTTACTTTAAAAACTTATTTTCATTTTGAAGGATATGGAGTGATTATTATTTTCTATGAGTCATCTTTTCCCCCCCTAATTCTCACTCAAATATATGCCCAAACTCTCCTTTATCCATAAAAAAATATGAAAAACAAAATACTTATATAATCAAGATATTCTGAGTTTTCCTTCTCAAAGCTCATAATGTCATAATATACTGGATTCTCTGAATCCTAAGACATGTAACCAGAGAGAGACTGTCACAGATTCCATAATACCTGAGACATGCATTTTAGAAGCTACCTTGAAAATATTGGAAGCAGCCAATATTTCTTTTCATCGCCAAAGACTTGTCTCCAGTTTTTATTGCATCCAAGTGAGAAACCATTTCCATCAGCTCCATATGAAAACGTGGGTGCACGGAATGATTCTGTTTAGATATATTTAAAAAAGAAGAGTTAACCTATTTGAAAATTATAAGAAGGAAGAAAAGTACCAATTTTTTTTGCTTTATATCTTTGATATCAAAAACTATAAATATAATTTAAAATAAATACCATATTGTAACACTTAAAAATGAGTTTCTAAAACTTTTCTGGGAAAACATAAAACCTCTGAATATTTCATCACCTTTATAAAATCTACTAAAGTATGTTCAATATACCTTACATAGATATATATATATATATATTTAAGATATTCTATCTCTTGCAACTTCACTCATTCATTATGTATGAATTTCCTACTGTGTGTCTTATGGCACAGTTCTAAAGTTTTGGGATTCCTAAATAATTATAACTTACGTAACCTACTTACCTATGGTTGTTCTGTTTTTTCCAACTAGCCAGCAATGGTAGCTGAGAAGTGACAATACGCTGATGAAGAACATCGTAGACACAAAGAAAAGAAAAAGTACGTGGAATTTTGCACGTGTATCTGTGAGTTCATTCTGAGAAAAGAGAAGAGAAGAATTACTTAGAGAATAGTCAACCTCTAAAATATACTCTTATTATTTGGTTCTTTTTAATGACTGTTGAATTCATCAAAAAAAAAAAAAAGCCAGGTATGAGAAGTAATAAAATAAATTAGATAATACATCCAAAAGCAACATGTCCCAAAGCAGAGAGCTGGTATTACCAAAGGGGCTTGCTTACATGTCAGGAAGAGTCACTTTAAAAACTGCTCTTAAATTTTAGCAACACTTTCAGTAATAAAAAGATGAACATTTTACTCAACATTTTTCTTTTACAGTTTATACATATATTTAAGCTTGCCCCCAACTCTAGCATACATGAGGGTTTTCTCCATCTAAGCTAAAATATTTGCTTGTGGTAGTTATGTATACTGCTAACCAGAAGCTAGCTGTGATAAAACTCTTGTTGGACTTCCCAAGTCTCTGTTCTTGGAACAAACATACTGGGAACAGGCTAGCCCTGGAGCTGCTTCCATGCCTACCTTTAAAGTCCTTGTGCATTCCTACAGAGCCTTTCCTGGTAATTCCCAGTTCTAGTATATAAATTTGCCACAAGGTATTAGTGAATGAAAACAGCATCTCTGTTACCTATCCTAATGGTCATATTCATTTCAACGGAAGCACATATTCACCTAGAAGTGAGGATCTAGCAAGGGGAGAAGCAGCAGCCTCGGGCAGTCACTCTCACAGTACAGACCAACCACAGCCTCAGAGGACACTAGCTGCTCCTGTTTGACTTAAACACTGTTCATAGGCTAGTGAAGTGAAAGTGTTAGCTGCTTAGTCATGTCTGACTCTGCAAGCTCATGGACTGTAGCCCATCAGCCTCCTCTGTCCATGGAATTCTCTAGGCAAGAATATTGAAGTGGGTCGCCACTCCTTTCTCCAGGAGATCTTCCTAATCCAGCGATCGAACACACATCTCTTGCATTGCAGGCAGATTCTTTACCATCTGAGCCACCAGGGAAGCCAGGCTAAGTGGCAGGTTTTTAGCGTTAGGTATTTCTGACACCTATCTTTTCCTCTTGTCTTCTAGAGGAAACACAACTCCTTTTAAGTACAAGTGATTCTTCTACCTCCCCATCTTGTGAAGCAAATGAGTATTACACATATTCACTATAAATGTCACAAAAAAAGATGGCAAGAATGTCATGGCAATAATGTATTTTACCTTTGGACAACTCTCTGTAGATTTCCTGCGGCAAAGCTTGTACAAATAGAGACAGTGTATTAAGAAACCACTTTTTATACAAAATTATCCTGCTATTGTTATCCTTGCTGTTGTTGTAAACCTTTCATGTCTCGAAGGGTCACTAACTTGTAGCTCTTTAAACGTCACTGATGACATTTTCTCAAAAAACCACAAAAGACAAGGACATTCCGCTCTCCAAGCACATTTAGGGTATATTTTACACACCCCTTCACAAAGTTTTTAAAACAGATTTGTATCCAGGAAAGAATAAAATTAATTTTGCTTAGCACATAGCTTTTTAGCAAACTTCTGATGAGCGGTTTCTAAAAATCAGACCTGGTCCCTTCTGTCCCGCCTCACTAGTGGGCAGCAGCCTTGGGAGAAGTGCCGTCACTTACCATCTGGTCTAGTTCCTGCACAGCAACCTGAGGAGCCCTGAGGAAGTCAGATGGCCACACCCCTCTCTGCTCCCCACTCTGATCCTGGAAACACCCCTGAAGGCCCTCTCCCCTGGGGCCTCCTCCTGGGCTGCACCAGCCTCCCTCTGGCTCAGCCTCACGAGCCTCCTGGCACTGGCTCCTCCTCTTGGGCTTTGACTCTCTAAAGTTTACATGCTCCCTCTGAGACGTTCTTCTCTCAGATATCCACTAAGTTCCGTCCTATCTTTGTCAACTATTACCTTCTTACTGAGGCCTAACATGATATTCCATTAGTTTCAGGAGCTCAACATAACGATTTCACACACATCTGTAACTGCAGAATGATCACGACAGTAAGTCTAGCTGACATCCAACACCACACAGTCACAGAATTTGTTTTCTTCTGATGAGACCTTTCGAACTCTAACTCTTAAAAGATTTTCAAATATACTTACTGATTATAGTCACCATGTTGGACATTACATCTCCAGACTTATTTTGACCACCTTCACCCACTTTACCCATCCTCTACCCCATACTTCTGACAACCACCAAAATGTTTTTTGTCTATGAGGCTTCTTTTTTTTTTTTAAATTCCACATATAAGTTAGATAATATGGTATTTTTCTCTGACTTGATTCAATTAATATAATGCCCTCGAGGTCCATATGAGTTGTCATAAATGGCAAGACTTCCTTCTTGTTTTATGGTAGAAGAATATTTCACTGCACATTTTAAAAATTTTGTTTATTCTTGGTTGTGCTGGCTCCTTGCTGCTGTGCATGGGCTTTTCCTAGTTGCAGTGAGTGGGGGCTACTCTTCACTGCAGTACACAGGTTTCTCATTTGTGGTGGCTTCTCTGGCTGGGGAGCACAGGCTCTAGATGCATGAGATTCAATAGCTGCAGCACATAGGCTCAGAAGTTGCGGTGCACGGGCTTAGCTGCTCCATGGCATGGAGCATGAGTCAGGGATTGAACCCCTGTCCCCAGCATTGGCAGGCGGATTCTTATCTACTGGACTAAAAGTGAAATTCTTCACAGTATATTTATACCACAAGTTCTTCATCCACCAATGTAAACTTAAGTGTTTTCATGTCTCGGCTGTTGTAAATAACCTGTGACACAGGGGTGCAGGTATCTTTGTCAGTGTTTTCGTTTCCTCTGGATATATTCCCAGAAGCAGAATTTCTGGATCATGTGATACGACAGTTCTAATTTTAATTTTCTGAGGACTCCTTATACCATTTTTCATAATATCTGCACTAATTTACATTCCCACCAACACACAATGGTTCTCTTTTCTCCCCATCTTTGCCAAAACTTGTTATTTCTTGTCCTTTTGTAACAGTCATTCTAACAGGTACAAGGTGATACCTTGTTTTAAAAAAATACTTTCACATATTTATTTGGCTGTGCCAGGTCTTAGCTGTGGGATGCAGGATCTTTAGTTGTGGCACGTGAACTCTTAGCTGCAGAATGTGGGACCAAGTTTCCTGATCAGGGATCAAACCCGGGCCCCTTGCACTGGGAGTGTGGAGTCTTAGCTATTGCAACCTACAGGAAATACCGCTGCTGTGGTTTTGACTTGCACCTCCCTGATGATTAGTAATCCTGAGCCTCTTTTCTTGCATCTGTCGGCTATCTGTATGTCTTCACTGGAGAAAGGTCTATTCAGACCCTCTGATCATTTTAAATCTGGTTGTTTTGTCTCATTCTTGCTATTAAGTTGTGAGTTCTTTATATATTTTGGATATTACCCCTTATCAGATACATAATTTGCAAATATTTTCTTCCATCCAGTAGGCTTTTTATTTTGTTGATAGTTGCCTTTTCTGTACAGAAGCTTTCAGTTTGATGTGGTCTCACTTGTTGAGTTTTCCTTTTGTGGCTTTTACGTTTGGTGTCAAATCCACACAAGTCACTGCCAAGGCTGATGTCAAGGAGCTTGCTCCCATGTCCTCTAGATTTATGATTTCAGCTCTTACGTTCAAGTCTTTAGGAGCTGATTTTTGTCCATGATGGAGGACTAATGCTTATTTTCATTACTCCACATGTGGCTGTACAGGTGTTCCAACACCATTTACTGAACAGACTTTTTCCCATTGTATATTCTTGGCTCCCTGTCATAAATTAATTGATGCTTGGGTTGATTTCAGGGCTCTCTTATTCTGTCCCATTGATCTATGTCTGTTCTTATGCCAATAACATACTGCTTTCATTACTACAGATGTGTAATATAGGAAGCGAAATACCTCTACCTTTGTTCTTCTTTTTCAAGACTGTTTTGTCGTTTGCAGCTTTTTGTGGTTCCATACAAATTTTAGGGTTGTCCTACTTCTGGAAAAATGTTACTGGAATTTTGATGGGGATTGCAATGAATCTGCAGATTACTTTGGGTAGTATTTATATATGGTACTGATATTTTAAACAATATTAATTCTTTCAATCCATGAGCAGAGATTATTTTTCCATTTATTTGGGTCTTCTTCAGTTGCTGTCATCGATGACTAATACTTTCCAATGTACACATCTTTCATCTTTTTGGTTACAGTTATTCCAAGGTATTTTATTCTTCCTGATGCAATTGTAAATGGGACTGTTTCCTTAACTTCTCTTTCTAAAAATCTGTTATTAGTGTACAGAGATGCAACTTATTTTTGTACATTGGTTTTGTATCATACGACTTCAATGAACTTGCTTATTAGCTAACAGGTTTTTTTTTGGTAGCGTCTTTAGAATTTTCTAACATAATATGTCCTCTGCACACAGACACAGCTTTACTTCTTCCGTTCATATTTGGATGCATTTTATTTCTTTTTCTTGCCTAACTGCTCCGGCTAAGACCTTCCGTACTGTGTTGAAAAGTGGCAAGACTAGGTATCCTGGTTTAGTTCCTGATATGAGAGGAAAGCTTTCAGCTTTTCACCACCGAGTACGATGTCAGCTGTAGGCTTGTCAATATATGGACATTAAACTGAGGTACGTCCCCGCTACACTCATTTTGTTGACAGTTTTTACCATAAATGGATGTTGAATTTTATCAAATGCTTGTTATGCATCTATTGAGATGGTCCTATAATTTTTATCCTTCATTTTGTTAATGTGGTGTGTCACACATACTGCTCTGCAGATGCTAAACCATCCTTGCATCCCTGTAATAAATCTTACTTGATCAGGGTGCGTGTGGTCCTTTTAATGTATTGTTGAATCTGGCTTGTTAATATTTTATTGAGAATTTTTAAAAATCTATGTTCAATGGGGATTTTGGCCTGCAATTTTCTTGTGGTGACTTCATCTGGTTTTGGTATTAGGATAATATTGACCTTATAAAATGAGCCTGGAGGTGTTCTCTTGTCTACTTTTGGAAAGAGTGTGAGTTGGATCAGTGTAGGCTGTTCACCTGTGAAGCCACAGGTCCTGGACTTTTGGAGGTTTTTGATTACTCAATCTCTTCACTATTAATCAGTCTGTTCAGATTTTCTCTTCCTTCATGATTGGTCTTGGTAGGTTGTATGTTTCTAGGAATTTATCCATGTCTTCTGGGTAGTCCAATTATTTGTTCATAGAAGTCCCTTTGACCCTTTGTATTTATCAGCTGTAATGTCTCCTCTTTCGAGTCCCCTCTTTCTTTTTCTTCTTGGTGAGACCAACTGAAGGTCTCTCTATTCTTTAAGAAACCCAGCTCTTAGTTTTAGTTACCTTTGTAGTTTCTATTTCACTTATTTTCACTCTGGTCTTTGTTATTTCCTCCCTTCTATGAACTTGAAGCTTTGTTCTTTTTCTAGTTCCTTGAGGTGTAAAGTTAGGTTATTTGAGATCCTTTCTTATTTCTTAACATAGGTTTATCTCTATAAAGTTCCCTCTTAGAACTGCTTCTGCTGCATCCCAGAACTTTTTTATGTTGTATTTCCATTTTCATTTGTCTCAACAGTTTTTGATTCCTTCTTTGACCAAATGGTTGTTCAGCTGCATGTTGTTTAATCTAAACATATCCGTGAATTTTCCAGTTTATATTTCTTAAAATTGATTTCCAGTTTCATACTATTGTGGTTAGAAAAGATGCTTGCTATCATTTCAATATTCCTAAAATGACAAGACATGTTTTGTGACCTAACACATGACCTATCACAGAGGATGTCCCATGTGCACTTGAGAAGAACACGTATTCTGCTGCTTGTGGATGGAGTGCTCTGTCCATTAAGTCCCTCTAGACTAAAGTGTCATTTAAGTCCAATACTTCTTTATTTCATTTTGTCTAGATGATCCATCCACTGATCAAAGGCCCTTACTGTGATCTTGCTATTTCTCCCTTTACTTCTGTTAATATTTACTTTATATATTTAGGTGCTCATTTGTTGGGTGCACAGATAATCTTCTCTAGGATATCCACTAACTTCCTTCAAGTCTCACTCAAATCTAATCTTCTTACTGAGGTCTACCATGATAAATCTTTTTAGTACTATAACTTGCCCATTATACCCACCTGCCCCACACACTTGCTAAGTCCTTTACCCTAATCCACTTTTTTCCCACAGCATTTAGTTTCCAATATACAATACAATTTGCTTATTTACTATGGTTACTGTTTGTTTAGTCCTTCTCAAAAGTAAGTTCTACAAAGACAGAATTCTTTGTCTGCTTTGTACATTGATATATCCAAAGTGCCTAGAACATACGTGCCTGGCACATAGTAACTGTTGAAGAATGAAGAGAAAAGCAGACTTAAGTTATTAGTCTTTCCTTACTCATCATGAACCTTAAAAAGTTTGACAATATTTACTTTTCATTAACAAATCATTACATGCAAACACTGAAGTTTCTGATAAAGAAATGTGACATTCTGTAATTTGGACTTCATTCATCTGGTTCAACCTTCACTTTATTTACCTAAATAACTTCTCCAACCTCAGTTTACAACTCTGAAAGCTGGAATAATAAGAGCTCCTTCTGCATTAACTATATTTTCTTCTTTTCTGCAGCCTCAATGCTCCAAGCATCTGGATCCCCGCTGACTGGGGAGAGAGTGCCTCTCCAGGGCTATCTGTTTCTTAAAGAGACAGCAAGGAATGTACTTCTCAAACTATATACAAACTAATTGGTCCAGAGCCCACAGTCCAAAACACCTCTGGTTACTTGACTCTCACAGTTCAGTGGGCAATACTACCCTGCCCTACTCACACCAAACAAGGGACTGCCTGGAGCCCCAGAGACCACTGAGGTTACTCAAACTAGCTAAGCCTATGTGCACTTACCCTGCCTCACTGTGCCTCTCCCACGGACACTAGTGAAGGCTCTGGCCCTCGTGCTTTCGACTTCGTGAGCGACTCTGGTGCTTCCCCGTGTGGGCCTGTGTAGTGTGGTGGGAACCCTCCCTTGTAACTGTGAGTAACAAGCTATCTTTCCAGAGGTTATCACCTCCTGATCTGTCAGTTTCACCACACCTGAATAAAAATAAAACCTACATTTTAAAATACCTTCCTAGGGTTTTTAAGAAGAGTAAATACAAAAGCACCTTTTAACCACAATAACCCCCATCTTCAAAATCAAAGACTTAAATGGAGGGAAAAAAAAATGCTAAAAGTTGGATGAATATTTCTATAAATTTACAGTGACTAGAATAAAGCCAAAAATCACCCATAATTAAAAAGTACTACTTTAAAAATATAAAACTGATTTAGTAAAAACAAAATGGAGTTATATAAGACATCAATCAAAACGGGAAAGCATTTGCCACTCACAATAGGAAAATGATTAATATCTATAGAGACAGGAAACAGATTAATGATTATCTGAGGCTGGGAGTTTCAATTTTATTACTGTAAAAACTTCAGTAAGTCTCATCAACTCAAATGAAAGGAACTACTTCCCTAAAATTGATAGCCCACTGTTAAGAGTATGGTTGAAAACAGTCTGAATTACTAAAAGAAACTCACTATGTCCTATGTAATACTCATTTATTCACAAATAAACATGTATATAGGAAGGGAAATTTAAACCCCATTTGTCTTCTGAGCCATTATAAATTCTAACTAGTACAATTAAGTATGTCTACTTATAATACAGAATGAAGGAATTCTTTATGAAATACCATCTTAAAAAATCTTAAATATAGGTTTGAAGATAGAAAAAAGACTTACCGTCCAAAATTTTATAAAGTACTGTAAAACTGTTGTAGCCACGAAAAGGCAATATAACAGAGAGTAGAATAAAAACAGCAGGAAGAATTTGTAATTAGAAAATCCCACACAGTTATTCACCCTAGAAGAATAAAGAAAATCACATTGTAAAAACAAGACAAACTTGGAGAAACAAAACTAGAATGGTGTCTGCCAGGGACTTTCGGGAGGGGAGCAGAGAGGTATTTAATGGGGACAGAGTATCAGTTTTGCAAGATGAAACAGTTCTGGACACTGGTCACAAAACAATGCGAACATGCTTAACACTGCTGAACTTGTATACTTAAAAACGGCCAAGGTGGTAAATTTAATTATTTTTTTTAAATCATGATGAACACAAATAGGACATATCAAAAAATGTAAAATCATTATAACTATAAATGGTTCATTTGAGAAGAAAGGGGTAGTGTCTTAATTGTGGATGTGAGTTTTAAATTAATTCTGTAAGAATTTGGAATTTCAATGTTAATTCTTAGTATACAATTTTTTGGGTTAATAACACCAGAATATATTTTTAAAGGAAAACACGTAAACAGAAACATAAAACTACATCAATCTTGATATCTATCAGTAATTAAATTGATCTTCAAAATTTAGGAACACTGAGATCAATCACTCTAAATAAATACCCTCCTTCCAACCTCCCCACCTCATGTCATCTCCTTTGCGTTTTATACGTACCAAGGACAGTGATGGTCCATCTTAAGAATACACCTAAGAAACAAATGAGCAGAAGAAAATCCATGTAGAAAAATTCCACTAATTCTAATTTGATTTTTGTTTTTTTTGGACTTAAAATTTTTCCTTTCACAATACATCTTAGGAAAACCAACCCAGTACAATGAGGTTAGAGACAATTTCTGTTATTTCACATAGGTAAGAGGCAGTGATTTTTCATACTGAGAATTGAGCTGAATATGGCGGGCTGCCTTGAACCACATCAAGCAACACTGTAATAATACACAGGTAAGATGCATATAGCACTTGGAACAGTAGCTAGATGTAGTTTACAGAGTCAGCTGAGGAAGACAAAAGGGAAAGTTACTTTAAACATATGCAAGTCATAAAAACACAACTTTGGAAAAAAAAAGTGTTCAATAAATGGGCTTGTAGGTAGTCTGTCTTCCTACAGATATATTACAATTCTATCCCATGTATAAAAACCACTGTATTTTATAATCAGAAAAAAAAATCCCCACATTTGTCCCTCCATCAGTATATGCAATGTATATTTGCACAAAGTTAGACAATAAGTAAGATTAAATGGCCCACTTCACTGAAGTTCAAGGACTCACTGGGATTCCTACACTAAGAGTCTTTCTTTCAACACACCACCTTCTCACAAGAGCGTAAGAGATAAAATCTTCCACATTTTAGGGGGAATAACTTCACAGGTGGTAATTGAAAGTAATAGTTCTGTGGTTTGTTGGGCTTTAATACCAACATTAACAATAAAAGCAAGAAAATTGTCATGGTCTTTTTAATTCAGGAAATAAAGTTTATCTTTCTCATGGGGGTATTACTTACTTGCTCATCAATATTACATTTAAATATAAGCAGAAGAAGTACACATACTCAAAGATCTAAGTGGTGCAGGAACTGTTACCTGCAGTGACTTCAGCGAGTGTTCTGGCTCGTGCATGGGTTCCCGTCAGTTCTGCACACACAGCAGTGCCAGGAGCCGAGGCAGCGAGCGTCCTGGCAAGTTTCTCCCCCCGTCCTCCCCACACACCAGCTCCGGTCCCAGGCTGAATGACCGCCAACGAGGAGTACTTACACGTCACATGCTGAGCAGTGATGCGCACGGTCAGGCTTAATCAGCTGACACCTTTCACAATATCTGACGGCTACATTTAAGAATTAAAAGGAAGTTGTTGAAGGATATGTTTTAGAGTTGAGTTAATATGACTATAAAATCTGCTTTCATTTTTTATAAACAACTCTGGGAAACTGACAACTGATAATTTAAAAATAATACCAATAACTGAACAGACTTTTTGAGAAGATTTTTGCAGGGTCTTAGATGACTGAGTAGACAGAAAAACTGATGTAAATACAGCAATCAGAAAAATTGCAGTTTCCACAGTGTTTTGCCAGAGGAACAATGTTGCCGTGACAGAAATGAGCTTGGTGGGGTGAGGGGGTGGGTACGGGAGGAGGGTTCGGTTGTTTTTCTTGCTCTTCAACAAGCATTCAGAGTCTCTACTCTGAGACAAACCCTGCTTCATGCTGAGAATATACAGCTGAACACGACAGACTTCCCTCCTGCCCCCAAGGTGTTAGGTTTTGTCTGGCTTGAATTTGGACAACAGGTCACTCGGGAACCGCTGTCCTTTGGAAGCTGGAAGTACAAGAACGGAGCTCGAGTGGGCACACACGCCAAGGTGAACGCGAAGCCCTGACAGTGGTCTCCAGGGGCCCTGGGGGAGGGCTGGGCAGCGCCCTTCTGAAACCCTCACTCACAGACGTGGCAGGTGCGTGACCCCGAGTGCAGCTGCCATCCCCTGCCAACTTACAAGTGAGTGCTAGGGTGACCACAGCCTTGAGTCTGCTAACTTATATGAAAAAAAGGTTTAACTCAGCTCTGAAAACTATTCAGAAAACAAATTATTTGAGACACAGTAAACTAAACACCACAATATTATGGTGTCAAAATCCCATGGCTGAAAATAGCTGAAGGAACTGTAGGAAAAGAACGGGACAAAAGCACCTTGTGAGGCAGGGTTAAAAAGCACAGGAGGAAGAATAAACATTCAAGAATGCAAAAACAACTAGAACAGAAGTACAAAGAAGAAAAGTTTTTTAAGCAGTTAGACTGACAAAAAGCCACTAAGTATGGTTAGGAAGAATGAAAGCCAGTTGCCTGGAACCTGCTGGAAAAGAAAAGAGGCTGGGGTGCAGACAAGTTACAAAGAGACCTGTAATCATGGGGAAGAGAAAACAGAGTTGTAGTTGGAACACATCAGAACCTAACCTTTGTTGCAGTTTTTAAGAGGAGATGTACTCTGAAGTATACCTGCAAGCAGAAGGAAGAAAGAGGCTGGAAATTTTTAAGAAGCAAGATTTTTATGAGCAAACCGAGGGAGAAGGAAAGACAAAGGTCACCGATCTCTATGTAAGTCTCATAAAAAGACAAGAATGTGGACACCAGAGGGAGAGGCCTGCGGACAGCTGAGCATGGGCAGGGCAGCCCCAAGTCCAGAGGCAGCCAGACTCAACCACCATGATTCACACTGGTTCTCTCCCACTTACTCCCTTGTGACCTTGACAGTAACTTACTTGCTAAAAGACTCAATTTCTGCTTTTGTTAAATGCAAATAATATCAAGTGTAGCAGACTATTGTGCAAATTTTAAAAAAAATCTTCTGGAACTTATCAAATTCTCAGTAAAGCAATTATTATTGTTATGATAATATTATTTCTGATAAAACATGAAGTGAAGCTCCAGGACGGGAAAATTAGTGAAGAGGAGAAAAGGGAGATTTTTCAAGTGTATATATAAACAGCCATTACAGAGAACACCCAGGAACAGCTTCGCCCCACAAATGCCTACTGAGTGCCTGGGGCAAGGTGCTCACTGTGTTAGGACGAAGGGCGGAGCTCCAGTGGCCAGAACTTCAGGACTGAGTCAGGTCGTGAAGACAACAGAGACAACCACCAGACAGCGAGCTGGGATCAATAAGGTAAGAAGCTGAGAAGTTTGGAGAAGACTGTAAAAATCACTTTTTGTTCAAGTGAACAGAAATGGCTCAAGAGGTAGACAGCAAGTTAAAATTTTAAAGTACTGACAGAGTTAGGAGAAAACAATGATTCGAGGCAGACAAAAAGATATAAAAATAAAAAGTGGGGAAGGAGAGTTTTAGTACAGCTGACCCAGGTAATGGTGCAGGACGAGCCAGAGAGAAACACTGGCCATATCCAGACTGTGGACGGGGGAGCTTAAGAAGACTCATTTTTGAAGACGTCCACATGGTTCTGCTACTGTTAGGCACATGGTTTAAAAAGCACAGGAAGGAATTCAAGGAAAGTCGCCACCCCCGCTGTGAAGGCAGAGCCATCACGTTCACTATCTCTGGTCTAGGAAAGGTCCACTTCATATAATGTGTGGTTCTATATTTTGTTTTTTAAAAGATGTATGGTATTATTTCCATAAAAAGAAAAAACCCAACGTTTGGGACTCTAAGCAGTAGAAATGGAGTATAAAACAGTGCTCAAGGCCAGAGACTGTCTGCAGTCAGAAGATAAGGCATGAATCCCAGACCTTGCCACTCAGGGACTTTAGGGACCTCACCTGTGTCACCCCTTCATCTCTAACATGGGGACAAGTGCGGTGCTGTCTCAGGGTGGCTCTGAGGGGTAAATGATCACCATGAAGTGCCGAGCATAATTCTGGTGTAATAGTCAACAGATGAAGGATATTTTTCAGATTAGTAGAAACTCATTATAATGAATGAAGAGTAATAAAGATTTAAGGGTAAAGATTTTACCTCAGTGGCTTTCAACTCTTTGGAGTTACTGCTCTGAAAATCAGATCTTGCCATGAACAGGCTACTTCAAGAAGTACTTAGAATTCTGTATATAATCTCAGAGCTTCATAAATCTTCTAGAATCTTGGTCTTGGGGTTAAAAACATCTAGGGAATTTCCTGGCAGTCCAGAGGTTAGGACTCTCAGCTTTTATTTCAGGATGGCAGGGGACATGGATTTGATCTCTGGTCACAGAACTAAGATCCTACATGCCTCCTGGCATGTACACACACACACACAAAGTCTAATCTATGGAACTACAACTACTAACAACTGCTGTGAACTAGACATTTTATAGTTAAACATAAGAAGGATTATTTTAAATTAGCTTTTATGTACTGAAAGTGTATTACTATACACCAAGATCTACACTCAGTGCTTGTCTCATTTACGAACACCTCTGGAGACTTAGATGCTAGCATTCTCATTTTAAAATGAGGAAACCGGGCTTAGAAAGTCTAAGTGATTCTCATGGCACTAGTAACTAAAAAGCTGGGGTTTGATCTGAAATCCATGGTTTCATTCTACACAGTAACATATTGGTTGTGCAAAAGGACAGTCCAGGCACACCCAGTTTCATTATGCGTCACAGACCCTGCGTTTCTTCACAAACTGACAGTCTTTGGGGACCCTGCATGGAGCAAGTCAACAGGTGTCATTTTCCCAGCAGCATGTGCTCGCTTTGTATCTGTGTCACATTTTGGTAATTCTCATGGTATTTCAAACTTCAGGATTATTATATTTGTTATGGTGACCTGCGACCAATGACCTTTGATATTACTACTGTGACTTGCTCAAGGCTCAGATGATGGTTAACATTTTTAGCAATAAGGAATTTTTAAATTAAGGTATGTTCGTGTTTTTATGACATTGTGTGATTGTACACTTGATAGGCTGCCTTACAGTGTAAGCATAACTCACACGCACTGGGCAACCAAACAGTTCATGTGTCCCACGTTACCACAAGACTCGCCTTACTGCAGTGTCTGGAACTGAACCCACAGTATTCTCCAAAGGGTGCCTGTATTAAACGTATGAAAACTTAATATGTTGGTCAAATATCCCCTCCTAAAGTCTAGCACGGATTTTAAATTTTCTTAAGTTAGCATATGTACAGAACTACACAAAGGAAAAAGCTCTTTTTATTTCCCCTTGGAGTTGAGCAGCAGAGTGGGTTTCAGAGGCAGGACACCTCCCCACACTGTCTGTGTGACCTTTACTATGTTACTTCACCTCTGTTTCCTCATCTGTAAAGTGGACACGACAGCGTCTCCCCACAGGGCTGGTGTGAAGCTCAGATGAGCTCGTATGTGTAAAGAACTTAGATCGGACTGTCAGCTGTCAACATTATCTGGTATTTGAATGAATTAATGAGGTATATAATACATAATTTTAAACAACTTCCTACAATTAAATAACCAGCTGGGCGACTCACAGACCCGAGTGTTGGTGGAGTGCAAAGAACAGAAGCACCCACAGCTTCTGAGCAGACAGTGGCCTTCCAAGTCCGGCCCTCTGAGGGGTAGCTTTACAGCCTTAATGAGTTTCTTCCCGTCTGTGGCTTTTATTTCTCCCCATTCCAGGTTAGCACATTCTTGATTTTTAAAATATTACTCAGGGATGACACAAAATATTCAAATTCAAACCAGGATTTCCAAATGACAGTTTACTAAAAATTATACATGAAAATTTTAGCCATGAAGGATGAGCTAGAAAAAAAATGCAGAATAAGAGAGATCGACATTAAAGTGAACCACATAAAAAGTCTGTATGAAACTAGACTTTGTATCTGAAATACCTGTATCTCAGGTAAATCTATCTCAAATACCTGAGACAGGTTTATCTGAGATAAATACCTGCTTTCACATAAAGGTACACACCTGTATCTGAAATACCGTGTAAGATACAGAACACAGAAAAGTCTTGTTTCTGCAGATGCCATTTGTGACAACCACAATACCCACTTAGTAGTCAAATCATGCAAAGATATTTTGGCAAAAATGACCACATTTTCAAAATTCTTTGGAGAGGGAACTATAAGGTTTGTTTTTCTTACTCTTTGAAGCCGACGTGGTGTAGATAGGTAAGTCTCTTGCTGCTCTTCTCAAAATTTCTTGTTGTCTTTCTTGGCTGAATTCCTTTTCATAACGTTCCTTTACAGAATTGGACAAACAGAACTATAGAAGGAGAAATAACTATCAATTCTTTTCAATCCCATGATTATTAACTATCATGCTCAGAAAAACAAGTTTTATCCAGAACAGAAAAGGCCAATTTTTTCTTTTTTTAAGGGCAAATTTTTTTTTCAATTTTTTTTGGGAGTTTAATTCAGGCCCTTTTAACAAAACTACATGCCTTTGACAGACTGAAAATATATGTCCTCCATGCTAATGATGGCAAAGAACATGAACTAAATATTTTTGCATCTTTGTTTTTTACAGAAAAAATTAACTTGCCCCATCAAAGAGGGCTTAATATAAATTTTGTGCTAGTAAAAGATTTGCTGTTTGAAAGTGTCAAGAGATTATGAATCGTTGGGAAGATGTTCAAAGACTCACTTGCTTGGGGGCAAATCACAGGCAGGGGTCCTGCTGTTTTCTGGCCAAGTTTCTCCTGAGGACAACTTTTACTGCTTTGTTTTTGTTTTTAAAACACTAACCAATCAGGGAACTTTCTCCAAAACTATTAAGGACTGTCAAGGCAAGCACAGTCTCCTTTTCTCAAGAAGCAGTTCTTTCGTAGGGCTGCTTCCAGCTTCTATTTCTCAAGTTTTAATTCCCACGTGGTGGGTACCATTTCCCTACAAAGGACTTGTTTCATTGCTTCTTTTCATGTCATCCCTGTATCTCAAGGACCTCAGTTTCACGACTCTATTGCACGTAACCAGGAGCTTTTATTAAATTTTTCTTGGTCTTTATTTCATAGATTTCTTTTAAAAAACAAAACCTGGCCTGAGACAAGCTCTTGATCATGTTTCATACAATATTGTTCCTCAACTATTATTTACTTACAGAGTTTTGCTTGAAAAGGCCTAAGGAGTCCTAACTGGAGCTTCATCTTTTAAAGCTTGAGTATTTGGTCTACCTGCCCACCCTCGATGACTCGTCATCAGTGACGGCACTGCCTCTTCTGTTAAAAACGAGACAGCACAGCACAGATTAGGAGCCCTTGGGATAAGGAACCTGTGATCCCACGCATCTCAGGGCAATTTTCTAAGACTGTATAATTATTGGCAGAGCTGATAGAAAACCACAAGTCCCTTGAGTTAGTTCTGCTCTAGGATGTTTCTCTCTATGTGAAAAGATGTTTTTGCCTTTTACAGACTTGTTCCTCTAACCTAGACTAAAACACAGTGGCTGAGGCAACAGAAGAGTCCTTTTAGATCACCTAGCCTGGCTTCCACCACCAAGCCACAATGGCACAAGCAATCCCCCAATTACTTAGGAAGGACAAGAAAGAACTTGGATGTACGAACTGGACAGAAAAAATACACACCATCTTAAAGCTGACTCTGGAGGCCACCTATGTAAATGCCTAGGCACTTCTGAGATCCATCCCCTCCCGAACACTTTCAGGTACAGAACACTTCCCTACTCTGTAAGATGGCCCACTCTCCTTTAAGAAAGCTAACTTGCTAGAAAGTTCTTCCCTGACAAGATACATCTCTGAAACACTCAAAATAGAGAATAAAGATCATATGAAGTGAAGTGAAAGTTGCTCAGTCGTGTCCGACTCTTTGCAACCCCATGGACTATACAGTCCATGGAATTCTCCAGGCCAAAATACTGGAGTGGGTTGCTGTTCCATCCTCCAGGGAGGATCATATGGTATAACGTTAAACACATACTTGGAAAAAAGATGCTCTCATCAAATTTTGCAGTTTCCCTGTAAAATCTGAACAGACTTCCCTGGCCTAACTGTTTCTAGGCAGGCCTCAAAATCATTACTTTTCCTTACGAACTATGGTTAAGAATTATGAAAAGTTTAAATCAAATGAAAATATCAACAGATACCAGGATTTTAGATGAGGAATGGAACAAGATAAAACTTAAAATGAATTTAGAACTTTGAAATTATTACTGTTTTTCATTAAATACTACTGAACAGAATTCAAACTATGAAATGTCATTATCTTAAACAGTGTTCAGATGTTTCAATTTAACTGTATGTTTGGTACTGTCCCGGGTACCAGGGATTCAAAGATGAATAAAAATATAGCCTTTGCCTTCAAAAATAGATTCCTATAGTCCAGTTACGAATGTTAAGAATTACAAATGACAAATTATCAATTCTTTACCAGGTGTGATCAAAGCTCCCTCAGGAGGGGTGGGGGCTGTCCATGAATGTTTCTTGGAAGAAGAGGTACCTAAACTGGGTTTAGAAAGATAAACAGGAATCGTCCAGGAAGGTAAAGCAGGAAAGAAAATCTTGGCAAAAGCAGCAGCATATGGAAAACAGAGAGGCAAAATGGTATATTGTGGGCAACATGTTACTTGAACACAGACTTCCAGGAAGAAGTAGTGGCGATAAAGTGAGACTTCCGCTCCTGAGGGGCCATAATCAGGAAGTGAACAGACCCCTGGCAACAATGTGGGAGTGGATGGAAAGGCTGAGGTGCTGGGCTGAATGCTAACTGGGTGCAATATCGTAAACACAACAGCCAAAAAAAGAAAAAGTAGCAGTTAGATGGCACTTACTATGTGCTTGGCATTCTTCTAAGCACTTTCCATATAGCAGTAATAATATGCTATAAGTACTACCATTCATGTGTGTGTGTGATCAATCTATTTAACCCATACAACAATCCAATAAGGTGTGTACGACTGTCACCCTGACTTTACAGAGGATGGCTCTGAGGTCCAGAGCCGTGGCCCCAGTGCCCCGCAGCCAGTACAGCAGAAGGAGGAGGCAGACAGAGCTTGTACCTCTGTAATAGCCTGCTTCTCAAAAGTAATACCAACTGTTTTCCTTATTCTGTTTCCTGTAAAGACTATTTAGTTTTATACATGATATGTTTCCAATAGCCATCATTACTGGTAATCCTTTTCAATTTAAGAGATTAAGGTATGGATGGCAGCTTGTAATTAACTTTAAGGGCCAAATAATTATTAGCAAATGCCTGAAGAATATATTTGAAGCAACAGTAAGCTTGATTAATGGTTTACATTATCCCTTAAAACAAATGTGTCCAACAGAAACAATGGGCTAATGACCATTTGGCATCAGCCACTACTACTGACTGTACAGGCAGAACCCAGCAATTCTCCTGGGCACCTGCCCCAAAGAGCTACATGTTTGTGTGTGCTAGAATGTGGACAGCAGTCCTACACCCAAATGCCCATTAACAGGAGGCCAGATAAGTAAACCGTGTCACATAGAACAATGGAGGACTGAGCCACAGCTACGTACAACAGCACGGAAGAATCACACACAAGGAGAAAGTTCACGAAAGGCATGCAAGCAGACGTTCTGTGTGACTCTGCCCACATGAAGCACAGGCGAAGGGAGCCGGAGGGAGCACGAGGAGGCTCACAGGATGCCAGGCACGTTCCGCTTCTGGAACTGGGTGCTGGTTACTCACATGTGCTCAGTTCAGGAAAACTCATTCATACATTTACAGTATGTATAGTTTCTGCATAGTGTTCTTCTACAAAAAGTTAAATAGAAGTAGATGTCTTTAAACCTATGTCTGTAATTTTTAATGCATTCTGATGAATTTAACACAAAGGGAAGTAACTATATTATTATGTCATCTAATATTTGAGTGCTAACCACAAGGCAGGCCCGATGTTAAAAGCTTTCCATGAATGAATCTCATTTACTCCTCACAAACATCCTACAGGGGTGGAACGACTGCTGGCTCCACCTTCCTTGGATTCATTAAAAAACATGTTAGAGCAGAAGATCAAACTCAGACAAGTCTAACTCTGGAGAGTGTGTCCTTCTCCACCCAGCGTGCCCCTCTCTGTCCAGCGTGTCCTCTGTCTAGTGTGTTCTGCTCTATCTAGCTATGCCGAACTTGAACTGAAGAGAATCCAGTTGGCTCTATCAGGTGAAAGGGACACAACGGTCTTCAGTTTTACTCCACATATGTGTATACTTGTGTTATTTCCAAGTGAAACTTCCAAGTAGAAAAAACACTAGCCACACTAAGTATCACAAGCAACAGCACAGACGATTTGTTTCCCATAACCAAAACACTTTATTTACTTGCAGCTTATTTGTTCAGGCCTGAGAAAAAAAATAAGTGTTAAGAGAGTTTCTAAAAATAAACTCTATTTTCCTAACTCAATTCTGTCCCTTAAGATTTTTCACTCCAGTGACATAAAGTATGTCTTTAAGAAAACACAGCATGGCACAGCTAAACCGTAGCGCCATCATGGATCTTTTATGAAGGATATCAGTGGGCTGTGTCTGAGAGGCTGACGACTCACATTCACAACGCAGTTACCGGGCAGTTTATGAATGGAAACAGAACAAACGCGTCATGTAATAGAGTTTCAACAAAGGTAACACAGGGAAAACAATCCCATCATCAGTGAAAGCATTTGGTAAGTTACCAGCATTAAATTTACCTCTTTGGAGGGGGAAGCGGGAGATGTGAAAATTGTCATCCAATAGGACCATACAAACATAACAAAGAACAGATGGAAAGCCACAAGGTAAACAACGGCCTTTCCTGGTAAATAAAAACAAACAACGTTTCATTGAATCCAGGTGAAAACAGGAAAAAGTATCACATGTTAAAACACAGTATTTAGAGTCAGCAGGCTCAATCCAATAAAAAATTTAATTAAAACATACTAAGAACATCAAATATATACACTCTTTTATCTACATGATGTAACACTACAGATATGAAAAAACACTGTTCTTGCATTTAAGGGTTATCAGCCTGGTTTATAAGTAAAGATATGATTTTATTAAGTTGCTGAAGGTTTAAGTTGAAATCTTAAAAGCATCTCCTTCAAAAGCACTTCCTAAAAGTTAGATTTTAAATGAATTAAAAATTATTTAAGACAGATTCCATCCCTATGAACATTAAATCCAAGGAATTATAACACTGAAGATAACTCAATTCCTGGATTATTCACAAAAGTTATCCTAAATGTCATTGTCCTTTTCAACACAGGGTAATGTAAAAGTTTAGACACTCTGAATCTCTCCCATAACTGTTTCCTAAGTGGATTAGTGTAACATTCCAACATCATTAACTCACTGATATAACTAAAAACTTTTTGCTGTGTTCTGTAGTTTTTCTATCTGTAAAAAGATAGAAAGAAGCAAGAACTATCTATCAAGTGCTTAAATCCTTTTTCAGTTTGGAATGTAGCACCACAAACTCACTGAAGAAAACAAAGCACAGACAAGCATAAAAGTTTGAGGGTCTACTCAATTTTTAAAGTTCAGATCAAATGTTACTTTTTCCAAAAGGCTCTATTACTTTCAGAATTTCTCAGTCCTTCATACTATTCTTCCCAAATGATTTACTCGAACTTCATTTAAAGCACTTTAAATGAGTTTCTTTTAATCTAGCTGCCTAATACTGATGAGCGAATAAATGGAAAACATTTAGAATGGTGTCTGACACGCAATAAATCCTCAGTGAATACTGGTTATCGTCATCACTGCTATCCAAGCATATCAATTCCTTCTTCTCAAAATCTGTGTTTTTTTGTGCATTCCCTATTTCAGTGTTTCCCAAGTTTATGGACTGATCCGAGTTTTCACTGGTCTGCAGTTAAATGAGAAACACTGAGAACAATGCAGTTAAGTTTTTAATAAAGCTAATGTATTCAATCTGAACAACTGTCCTTTTTGCCCTGAGGTTATTCTTCCTTAAGTTTCTGGATTTTAAAAAATGCTTTTAAATAAAATGATGATAAAAAATTGACCCCAACTTGCTGAACCCCAACATTTCCTTCTGCAATTACACTGGTTCACACTGGTTTAACACAACAGAAGCCTAAGTCACACTGGTGATCGAAACAGGAAGCCAGGGCTTGAGGACTCCTCAGTACACGGCTGGCTAATCTCACAAAATGTGTACTTTACTTTCTAGCTCCCAAGATCTGTGTCAAAGTAAACATCTGTCTTCTCACTCCCTGGGCCCTAGTTCCTTGACTGCTGCTTGTCTCGTCTGGGTCGCTGCACAAGCCAGCAGGTGTCTTTGCCTTTACTTTCTATGGTTCCTGGTTCATCTCAACGGTCAGTGGAGAACATGTAGCTCAGAGTTTCTTCTGCCCACTGGCTGTGAAACTCCTGAGAAAGCGCTCCACCTACATGACTAACAAAGGCATGCTAAAACTCCGGAGTTTCCTAGTAACCGAATTTAACCGAAGAGCCTCAATCAGCCTTTCCACATGCTGAAAGTCTCCGAGGAGACATAACGTAACCCTTACTTATAACCCTCATGATGGTCTCGTAGGTATCCTTTCAGTTTACAAAGGTAAAAACAAAGGCTCAGAGAACTTCATACCTTGCCCAGTGTCACTTACTGACTAAATGATAAAGCCAGAATTCAAACCCGTATATGCTTGATAAAAATCCAAGGTCTTTCCCACTACGTCATATCTAAAATTATCCTCTCCACTTCTCTATTATCTTAGCATCACTCCTACTTCAGAGACAGCCAAGTCCCACATGAAGTCCTAACCACAACTTCCTTCTATTTGCAAATATGCTTTCTTTTCATGATCACAAATATTGTCTTCCTCATTGAAAACTCTGGTTCCTCAAAACTCTGCTTTCTCTACCACTTCAGCTCCCTCTAGGCTAAACCCTATGGTCTAACCAATGGATTCGGTATCATTCCTTCATTTTTTTTTTTCCCTTTGGGAAAAAATGCTAGATCTCAGCCTCCTACTGTTACATGAACATGGAAGTCCTTCTTTACCAAGTCTGCAATTTTATCTTCACCTAGCTCACATCACTTATTATTGCCTGGCTCCTATATTCAATCAAGTTTATCAATCCTCAATTATATATTATTGTAGAGCTTTCAGATAAATGGTAACCTTGAGGTTACTTTAAACATCTTAATCATTTAGCTACTTACAACAAAGGCTAGAATATAAAACAATACACTCTTTAACATTGTTAAACATTTAATATTTCTTTAGAATATTTCTGCTCTCCATAAGAACAAAAACAAATAGTTTTTCCCTTAAAAAATCTTTACCTTCAGATAAAGAAATAAGAGCTTAAATAAATCTTTTAGTATACTGCCTGGAATACAGTTAAGTGCTTAACAGATGGTAGTTATCAAATTATAATATAAATAATAACAGGAAATATTGTTTTTAAATAAGTTCAAATTAATGGGATTACTAATAATCCCATATATATGCTATACATTATTGTTTATAAGTAATAAAGTAAAAGTTAAAATTAAATCAAAGCTGAAAGAAAAAACTGAATCTATATCAAAAAAGTCTGACTCAAAAATCACCTGTAACTGAATTAAAAAAACAAATAAGCAAACAAAAAAACTTCACCAAAAGACTCTTTGAAAGACACGGGGAAAATAGCCCCCAGAAATAATGATTCAAGTAAAAGTTCTTTTATAAGAATTTCAGAAATTCTCTACTTTCTGTACCTGTGATTTCAACATACAGGAAATAGTTTTAAGCAAGAAAAACAAGCCTATCAAGATTGTCTCTACTTATTCTATTACTGAGAAACTAGAAACCAAGTCAACTTGAGATTTACACGCTTAAGGTCTATTTTCAACAATAAGAACATTTATTAATAATTTCTAGGAAATTCCTGGTGGTGGTCCAGTGGTTAGGACTCCCTGCTGCCACTGTAGGAGGACATGGGTTCAATTCCTGATCATTTTAATAATAATAATTTCTAACTATTCTACTGTTTTAGAAACTTTGATTTTTGTATCTCAAATCCAATTTTACTTTTGAAATTTGGTATCAAAGGACATAAAACTTTATTTCAGTGAAATTTTGAGTCATGATTCTTCTCTCTACACACTGTCTCCTTGACTAGTCATAAAAACTTTAATTCCATTTCAAAATGAAGTAGTACTATAATTTACAAATTCAGTCTGGTTATTTAATTATTAAATGACTATGAGTAGTAAAGTACTATTTTAAACAAAAAGAAAAATGAGAATAAAACAAACCAATAAAATTTAAAATTTAAGAATGTATATTTTCTTTCTGAAGACCAAAACAGTCATCACTAAAGTAACAACTATATGGGTTGCAATTAAGCACTATGTCATCTACTTGAGAATAAAAATTAAAAGTGCCTTACCGTTTTCTCCATTTCCAGAAAGTGTAACTAGAATAGAAGAAAACACAGGGAATAAATATACTTTAAAAACTTTTTTATAAACTTTATTTCAGGCTGACTATTCATCTTAATATCATTTTCATAAACATAAAATTTAGTTATAAGATGTAAACGCTAATGCAAATTCAGAATTGCACTAAAAAAAAAACCCTGAAAAACTAAAATTCAGATTCTTCTTTATCATTAACACTGTAATCATATTAAAATTTTTTTTCAGACCGTTGTCAATTTTAAGTATGTCAATATGATTATAGCTATGTTTTCTTTCACTCTTTTCTTAATGTTGTCTACATAATAAATAGGATTTTCCTCTGTGGCACTCAGGAACAGAGGAGCTTACCCCTGCAGGGGGTAAGCATTTTTATCTTTCCAGTTTTTGAAACCCCGAGAACAGCTTCTGGACAGTCCAGTGGCCTCTGGGTACTATAGATTCTACTACCTCAGTCTCTTCAAATACCCCACCCTCTCTCATTTCTCCTACTGCCTTCTTTCAGGACTTTCAAATGCAATGGCTTAAAGCTACTCTCTACCGTTAGTTTAATACATCCTCACTACCAGTAAATCTAAAGATCGAATACACTTCAACACCCCTGGTCACTTTACAGAAAGAAGTTCAAAGTCTTCAGAGCAGCAAACACTTATGCCCTCTGTGATCTACAATCTGATATTTCTGAGGGACACTGATAAAAACCTGAACAAGTGCAAGGGTTTCCATTCTACACGGAAGAGTCATCATTAACATGTTCTCCTGAGGTTAATCTCATACATTTAGTGTCATTTCAGTGAAAATACTTCTATTTTTTAGCTAGTCAGATCCCAAATTTCATTTGTGGAAAAATAAACTTATATGATGAGGTAGAAAATTCTGCAAGAGATGAAAAATGAAGTAGTAGTCATGCTAAATACTAGGGCACAGTATTTTAAAAATACTACAAATGCTCCAATTATTAAAAAACAGTTGTACCAGCTCATGAATAAACGGATCAATAGAACAGAACAGAAAGCTCCCAAATGATTGTTGTTCAGTCCCGAAGTCCAGCTCTTTGCAACCCCATGGACTGCAGCATACCAGGCTTCCCTGTCCTTCACTATCTCCTGGAGCTGGACCCAAATACATGTAAGGATTTACTATGATAAATACGGGATTTCTAGTCAGTGTGGATACAGCCATTAAGTAGCATTAGGACACAGGAAGCCATGTGGGAAGATACCACTGAGACTCACAACACAGACCAGGATAAACCCTAAATGTACACCAAACACTGAAATGCAAGAAATAAAAATAAAACAAAATCATGGGTATACTAGATGAAACAGGAGGAATCTAAAAATATATACACTTTTGGAGCCGAGTAGGTGTTTCAGTTTATGACACGAAATATAGAAGCCACAGGAAAATATCAATATATTTGATTTTATAAAAGTAAATGCTTAAAAAAAAAAGTAAATGCTTGAAAAAAATCACTAAAAAGGAAGAAAAATAGTCACAACTGTTACTATAGATTAAAAACTAATTTCTCTATTTAAAGAGTACCTACAAATCAGTAAGAATTTGTTAAAAAAAACAAACAAAACCAAAACAGTACTTTTTCACAGAAAAGGAAATACAGACATCTCAAACATAAAAAAGATGGTCAACCTCATTCATAACAGAAATCCAAAGTAAAACTACAGGAAGATAACATTTTTAATAATCACATTAGTGAAGATCAAAAGCTAGTAGCCTACTTGTGATCACACTGTCAGAGCAGAGTTCTGGTTTTGACTGCATCTGGCTGACAGCGTCTGGTCTGCCTCACTGAACTCCCCCCGAGACAGCCACGCAACTGCAGGATGCAGCAGAGCTGCTGCGCCCCAAACGAAGCTGGACAAACCCAGACTGAGCAGAGCTCCTTCTCCTGGAGGGCACTCTTGACCACAGGAGCCGGCTCAACACATCGCCTGGGCACACAATCCTACGGCACTCTAAAATTCCCTTATCATAATACCACTGACACTGGTACGCAATTGCGAGTTTCTAGTCGGCAGCTCCTTCCAGATTTCTCCTGGAGGAAAGGACACGACTGAGTGACCAGCACCCGGCACCGGGTGGTGTGGAGACAGCCCTCAGTATCTGCCAGCTGCCCACCGATTACAGACACAGGCCTGTTAGAAGCTGTCTGCAGAGCCTCTAGCCTCACACAGGCGTGTTCCATTTTCCAAGGATCCCAATACAGGTGAAAAAATTATTCTGATGATAAATCCACAATTACAAAAACATTACATATACCTAAATGGTTACAGGTGCCTTTTAAAGGTATAATGAATGTTTTTCATTCGATCATGTCAGTGACCACATATCTCATTTGCAGATAATATTAATCTAAACTTAAGATTTTTTGTGAACATGAGAGCTGCCACATGCCCTTTTCCACTTAACGGCCACCCTTTCTCATCTCTGGCTTCCGTGGTGGTTCGGATGATTAAGAATTCACCTTTAATGCAGGAGACCTGAGCTCGAACCCTGGGTTGGGAAGATCCCTGGAGAAGGGAATGCTTACCCACTCCAGTATTCTCGCCTGGAGAATCCCATGGACAGAGAAGCCTGACGGGCTATAGCCTATGGGGTTGCAGAGTCAGACATGACTGAGCTACTAACATCCTTTCTCACCTACCTTCCCCCCTTAACTGAGACTGAAAATCCCAGGTACTCTCACTTTACCACCATCCTCTGTCTCTACCCTGGCCATGTGATATAGAGCCATGGCTGATGAATATGTCTTTGGTAAAGGAGAAATCATGGTGGAAAAAAAAGCTTTCTTCCTTGACAAGTGAGAACGTGTCAAGAGGAGACAGCCGTATTACTGCCTTCATCCAGCTTTTGCTTTGGATACTTAAAATGAAGGGGATGCTGACATCTCGAACAGCCAACCTTTGCTAGACGTGGGATTCTGGGTTGATAGTTCTCCTCTAACACTTGAGAAATGCCACCACACTTCCTTCTGGCCTCCACAATTTCTGATGAAATGCCTTCTGTTGTTCTAACTTTCCCCCAGAGGTTAGGTTTACTTTTGGCACTGTTTTTGACACTCAGTCATTAGTTCTCAAAAGTCTGGCTACGCGTCTTGGCATGGACTTTGCGCGAGTGCCATCAGTGAGAGCACTGAGGAGGGTGGACGACAGCACTGATGAGGTGCTGCACAGGGAACCGTCTCCGGGGCACATCACTCCACCTGGGGCACTTGGTGACGTAGTGACTTCAGGCCTCTCCTTTGTAAAGGTTCATTTCTCACTTTGACAATGAAACCATTTTGTAGGGTAAAAGGTTAAGGGTATGTGAGTATCTTCTTCCCCTAAAACTTTCCACAGAATGGTTTTAGCATCCACCGATAAGCCTGGCCTGAACCTATTATTTTGTAGAATTAGAAAAGCACCATTAAACACCCCTATTATTTATTTCCATACTTTTAAGCTGGCATTCTTCTGCAATGAACTTTCCCTCACTGGAGATGAACTAGAGTCATTCTAAAAAAGGCAGTACAAAAATATAATTATTTCCCTTTAATCACCCATTTTCAGAATAAGATTTTGGTATAATATTCACCTCCACTGTTAGCAAATAAATTTATTTTTTCCCTTTTTGAGTATCAATATAGAATTTTACAGATTTTATTTACTCAATGTGTCATCAACCACAATCACTTCCTATGTTCAAATTATCTCAGCTTGGCCTCTTGAATCGTCCTCATTGGTCTCTGAGCACTTCCTAACACAGCACAAGATTTCTAGGCTCATTGTACATCCTCCTCCCCTGGACCTGATATTAGCCATTTCTCCAAGGGGCACTGGTTCCTTTTAATGATATTTAATATAATTTTGTTTATTTATTTTTGGCTGTCCTGGGTCATGGTTGCTATGTCGGCTTTTCTCTAGTTGTAGCAAGCAGGAGCTACCCTCTAATTGTGGTGTGTGGGCTTTTCGTGGTGGCTTCTCCTGTTGCAGAGCGAGGGTTCTAGGGCACTCAGGCTTCAGTAGCTGTGGCTCCCGGGCTCTGGAGCAGAGGCTCAATAGTTGTAGTGCACAGGCTTAGTTGCTTGGTGGCTTGTGGGATCTTCCCGGAGCAGGGATCAAACCCATGTCTCCTGACTGGCAGTCGGGTTATTTACTACTAATCCACCAGGCAAGCCCCTTTCAATGACATTTAGAGACCAAGCTTTGAATTCTAGTGGTGCTTAGAGCTACTGGTGTTTCATTGCTTTTGGGCCCTTTGGATTACAGAAATAGTACTATACATTAGAAGTAGTGTTATACATTTATATTTCCAGTTCAAATAGAACATTGGTTTTTCTTAATTTTTTTGGCATTATATTTGTATCTTTTTACTTTCACAATAAAAATCTCAGTTCCTAATTTATTTATTAAATTTATCCTAAAATATACAATAAAATAGTTTAAAAACTACATACTAGTTTAAGATTTCTTTGAAGCTTTGTTTTATTCTGTTTTGGCTTTAAATGACAACCAGCTAAGGAGTACTATGTTCAAAAGTCACTTGAAACAATTCTTTCTTCTGTGTAGTTATAATATTAACTTTTAAAAATTAAGTTCATTTGTTTCATGATTTCAAATTTTAGTTTGCTTTTACCTCCTCTTTATTTTGGATATATAACAAATGTTAATGTTTAAAAGCTAAGACTATATAAAAAGATACTCAAGAAAGGTCTAGCTTTCATTCCTTACTCCCTCATCCAAGGTAATAATTTTTATTACTGTTTTATCCTTCCACCATTTCTTTCAACAAAATAAGTACGTAAGTATGTATTTCTAATTTTTTCCTTTATATCCTGGTTTGTTGTTGCTGTTCAGTCGCTAAGTCAGGTCCGACTCTGTGACTCCTTGGACTGTAGCACGCCAGCCTTCCCTGTCCTTCACTATCTCCCAGAGTTTGCTCAAACTCATGTCCACTGAGTTGGTGATGCCATCCAATCATCTGATCCTCTGCTGCCCCT